CTACTGACTGTTAGAGGAGAGTGGAGCAAGGAAACCTGCTTAAGGTTTTGCCCAACCCGGGAATCAAACCTGGGTCCTCTTGCCTGCGAGGCGAGTGCTCTAACCATTACACCACAGGACTTCTTCAAGGCTCCTCTACACTGCACCCCTCTTAATTCCAACCCCACAGCTCAAGTGATTACCCTTAACTGTGTAGAGCTTTAGGACGTCTTTCCGATATGTAAGGTGTTATATAAATGTAATTTAATTGTTTTTGTTTCAATTTCTCGTAAATAAATCTTGCTGCAGGACCTTTTGTTTGGAAGTCCTTTGTGTTCAGAGATTCTCACCTTCTGCGGTTTCAATTTAAAATTACAATTTACTTGTGTCTCTTGCCTTGGAATTCCTTGATTAAACTGACCACTCTCTCGCTCCAAAATTTAACCGGTCAAAATGAGCATAGTTTCCTACCACCACCACAAGCTATCAAGTGTTTCTAGATCCTGAGCATTGCTTGTGAGCTGCGCTGTTTGCAAAGGCTGATGTGCTGTTGTTATGATGCATGCCTCAGTGTGCCGTTGTTATAAGGTATGTACGAGTATATTATCCAATTGGAAACATTCCTATTAATTAAAAAGTGAGATGTGTTCACTTTCGCTGAGTTTCCAATTAAAATAGTATAACACTTTCGTCGGTTTTCTTTCAAACATAAACTTGTCGCAATACATGGCAAATTTAATAACCATCTTTGCATTTGATATAGCGCCTTATCATGTCATTGAGACATCTCGCAGAGCTTCCCAGATTTTTACTGCAAAGTTCAATGATTATATTTTTGTACACAAACATGGCAGGCAATTTGCACACAACAACCCACAAGCATCCATAAAGTGAAACCAGTTATAATCAGCTCCTAGGGTTCAACACAATGAAGGAAACCTGTTAATTGATAACCTGTTAATAATAACCAGCCTTATTATTGCACTGTTAAATTTTTACTCCAAATGAAAATTCTACTTATATTAATGCAGTAATTAACGCTCAGTAATTTTTTCAGTAAATCTTTGACCATCATATGTGAAAGGGTGACAGCCAAAAGGAATCATTACATCTGAGGTCCAGTTCGTGTTTGAAATGACAATTGTTATCAAATGCAATTTAACTGTAACATCAACAGGAGTCCTGTAGCAGATGATTAGAGCACTCAACTCGCAAGCAAGAAGATCCAGGTTCCTTACTCCACACGCATGTTTACCTAGTAGTAAGTAGGAACCTGGTGGTTAGTCAATTGGTGGAACGCTTTCCGGGGGTAATAATCCCTTAACAAAAATAATAATTTGGTCACTTGATCCATACTCTGTTTGTACAACAATGCTGTGCAGACTCTTTTTGCCCACAAAATACCAACCAATTCACTTTACAGTATATTCTGTGAAGCGCTCTGAGATGTCTCAATGACGCGATAAGGCGCTATATCAAATGCAAGGATTATTATTAATAATGCTCTACATAGTGACATTTCAGAATTAATTCAGTATAACGTTTAATTTAACATCGAGAACGAGTTAAGATTATATGAATGAAAGGTGTTCTCTGCGAAGAATGCATTGCTACATTTAGCTCCGCTCTTTTGAGGCTGAATGGGAAGGCAAAACAAGAAAAAGTACCATTTACATATGCACACTCCTTCTCCTGTCTGCATTCTTCACTGGTTTGCAATCAAGTCTCATCGCATGATTTCCTCCTCTAAATAAATCTTCCCCATGACATTATGATTGCGAAGCTCATTGCATCCCTCAGTTTTGCCTTCCTTTGAAATCTCTTAAAGGTCAAGCTATGAATCATTCAACTAAGTCTCAAGTCATCTCATCTTCCGTTTGCTTTTCAACTTTGGTCATTCATCTGCGTAGTTCTTTTTTATTTCATACCAAATATCCAAGATGAGTGATCCAAAACACCCCAACCCCCTCTTGTCCTGTACAAATTAAACTCTCATCTCCCCACAAAAAAAGATAAAGATCCACATCTTTTTAGGTAGCAGCTATTGCAAACATTTCAGAACCCCGATGTTTCACTCAACATGTTGGTGTCAGTCAATCTCAGCTACTAGTGCTCTCAGCTTAGTTAGATGGTTGCGCATTCAAGACCCCCTCTCACTCCACCCTCCCACTGGCCAGGGCTTTCATCTCATATAGTTAGTGTACTGCAAAGGAAGAGTAGCATTGTTGGAGGTGCCGTCCTCCAATTGAAATCTTGAACTGCCGACCTTTTCGGGTGGACATTAAAGATCCTGTGGCACTATTCCAAAAGCTAAGGGAGTTTCTCCCGGTGTCTTGGCCAACAATCCTCCCGGATAAAATTGGTTATTCCCTTCACGGGTATATTGGTGGGCACAAAATCGGCTGCGGGGTTCACCTACAAAATACAGTTGCTACACCTTACAGCAAATCCTGCAAAAAAAAATGTTGGTGGGGGTGGGGTGGTCCGCCAGGTGTCTGATACATGCATAACTCCGTCACCATGTTTAAGCGGATCCAAACCGAACAGAATTCCATGCATCCCATCTACACATGGAAATTCCAGAGAGAAATTGTTGGAATGGAATGCGCACTCTCTTCCTGGGGGTTGAAGCATCCCGGAAAGTGTCAGGCATAGATAGGCAAGACCCAAGGCTTGATGACCACAGAATGTGCATTGGGTACTGCTGAAGTCTAACCAGCTAAAACCGCACAGCTTGCCATCGATAGCACTGTCTGGTGAGTTTTCCCGCTGCTTGTCCTGCTAGGACTACCTGCAAAGCGCTTTGAAGTGTCCTTCTGACGTGAGAGGCGTTGAAACAAATGCAAGGATTATAATTATTACGTAAGTTTGGGTGCTGAAAAGCAATTAAGACAGTCTGTGAATATATTATAGAATGAAGGTGAACATAAGAGTCATCGAATACGACACTGCAGATCTCAAGAGCAACAAGAACCTAGCAACTCACCATAGCAATGACACATATCAACATGTATCACTGGAGAATGTTAATCTTTCAAAGGAAAAAATTAAAAGGGTTAAATTACTTAACCTGAATCGGCAGCATTCGTTTTGATAACACTTTTGCAGCACCGAAGGAGATCACTCTGCCCATTGTGTCTGTGGTGACACTAACTCCTCACTGGAGCTAATCCCATTCTCATGCTTTTTCCATATAATAGAATAATTCTTGTACACCTCCTCCTCTCCCCGCTCCCTTGCTTGCCGTCCATCCCCGTCCTTGAAAAGCCCCCCCAAAACATTACTCCCTCACATGAAGGGAGCTACATAAATCCAAATTACTGCTTCTCAACGTTCCCCCCACCCCCTTGCGTGCATCCTAACATTCTTTCCGTCACTATTGTTACTGATGATAGTAGTGTTAGCACTCTAACCTCGGAGTCAGAAGGTGATGGGTTCATATCCCACTTGAGGAGTTGAATTTACATAGTCTAAACTGACACATGCAACACCAGAAGTGTGCTGATGAGATGTAAACCCATGTACTGCCTGTTCAGGTGGACGTTAAGGATCTCATTCGAAAAGACAGCCTTGTCTCTCCCGAGTGTCCTGGCCTACAATCCTCCAAATAAAATTGGTCGCTCATTTCATGGCTATTTGTGGGACATTGCGCGTGCGTGAGATCGCCTGTCTCCCATCTGTGTGCGCGGGCACATCTAAACCTCATTACAGTAAGCAAAAGTCACAAAAACACTTGATTTTTGGGCATCTGCAAACTCGAAAATTGCTAAAAAAAAACAATGAAACGAAGACCAAAATAAAATCCCACAGAAGTTCAAAGTAGTGACATTTTCAGGAGAACAAAGTGGGATTTGAATAGCACCATTGCTTCTTGTACTTGGCACGGGGTTTAAGTTTCATCTAAAACTCAAGAGATCCACTTCACACGGCTCCGCACATCTGGCGTGGCCCAATGCCCAATTGTAACCAGACAGCTTTGTGCTTCCTATGCCCAGCTTGCTTTACCAGTTACCAACTTGGCCCAGTTATCAATTATTGTCTCCAAGCTGCTTGAACTCACATCAATAACAGCTTTGATCAAACTGTTCCCAAGTTGCATTGGCTCCAGCTGTCACACCGGAACCAATACAACACGAATGTGCACGCAGAGCCTCACATTTGGAGGTTGCGAGATGAATCGAAACCTTCTCTTATTAGTATAAGTGCAGGATTTTGTGATACAAGGCTGAATTCAATGACTAATTGGTGCATCTGTCCTTTGGATGAGACGTTAAACCAAGGTGTCGTCTGCTTGTTCAGGTGGATATTAAAGATCCCATGGCACTATACGAGCAGAGAAGAGAGTTTTCTCGCAATGTCCTGGCCAACAATAGCCAAATAAAAATTGGTCACTGACTGCATGGCTATTTGTAAGACATTGCTGTGCGCAACTGACTGTTGTGTTTCGGCCACAGAATACAGCTAATCCACTTTACAGTATATCCTGTGAAGTGCTTTGTGATGCCTCGACAACTAATAAGGTGCTATATCAAATGCAAGAATTATTATTATTATAATAATCTTGGGGACGGGTTTGCTGGGAGGGGTGGGACACCTAGAATAGGCCAGGCATGTTCTCACAGAGACAGCATGAAACTGGAGAGCAACTTAGCACAGTCACTTTTTAGTCGTGGAATCAAGCAAGAGTCTAAAGAGGTGAAAAATGACTGTAGGTCAAAAAATAAAAAAACAGAAGCGAAAGAGAAAATAGTTCAGCTAGTTTGCAGGTAGCGCTCTGGGACTCTACACTGCATGGGGGTGCTATATAAATGCAAGTTATTGTTGTGTTACATCCTAAAACACATTTCAAATCAAAATATATTACCATCTTATTTTTCTGAATAGGGCTCTCTCATTTACAATTTGCTGTTCATTAACAGCCTCTCTTAATGCAATCATGGGTGTCTAGTTATACAATTGTAATTTTGTTGTTGTTGTGTTGCCGGTGGCTTCACATCACATGAGGGAGAAAAGGAGACTAATTTCATCAAGTAAGGTTTTATTGAAAAATAACATTCTTGAATTTCACCAGTGTGTGCGCTAACCTCTGTATAGTGTAAAAGTTGAGGACATTTTTCCATTTACAAAACCAATTTCCACTCACTGCAATGTAAATCGATCAGGATTAAGATTCCGAAATAATGACATAACATAAAGTAGTGTGGACCAGTTTCAAATTCCCTGCCTTTGTTCCAACACCACAATGGCTAGTTAGTTAGTTAGTTTAAACTGAAGTTTGAAAAATGCTTTCTCATTAGCATAATAAGTTTAACATTAAAGATGATTGAACATTTAACCACACACACAAACAAAGGTGTAAGAGTTTCTAAAAAAAAGTATATTGCCTTGTTAATGTTTGATAAAGTACAAACGGGAGCGGGGAGAACGGGTGAGGGGGGCTGAATAGGGTGAGGGGAGAAAGGGTGAGGGAAGATGTTCAACAGAGTAGTCGTGCTTCCACACAGTGTTCGCATTTAAACAGCGGGGCTGGTGTTTGTCTCTTAAATCACTGACACTAATCATCGTATCATTTCTAGTAGGCTGTGCAGAAACAGAGAATTTGCTCTTTTGTTATAGACACATGCAAGTCTACGCTTGTTAAAAATCACTCGATATAAGGGGAAGGAGAGATGACACTATATTGGTCAGTAATGTTGCAGGAGGACATGGAGGAGATGACATGCTGTACGCCCTCTCACTGTACTCAGGTAAACTTTACTAACAAGTAGAATTTCACCCCTAAAGTTTAAAGGATCTCTTAAAATGCACTCACTTGAAGGCACTGTATTATGTGGGGTAGTGTTCTTAGATGTCCTCCTTACAAATGTGTACATACTAGCAGTGCTAACAGTCAAGGCATCACGGGCCAAGATCAACCCCATTGACAGCTGACATCTACACATTTTACATCAGGAGTCACTGGATAAGAATCACAAGTAAGAAGAACGCTTGCTGAATTTTCCCCTCCTGAGACTAAGGTATCCTGAAGTCAATTATTGTACTTCCAGCTAACGAACTCAGCATGGATTGCAATTCTATGGCTTAGTGCTTTTACCACTGGCTACTGGGAGAGCTCAGAGTAAAATGTTAGTGGTCAAAATGCTTCACGCCTGGAACTCGAGTCCCTCAATCATCTTTCTGCAAGACTCATTTTAGCTAGTGTAGCATCCAAAGTGTCCCGTTTTTATACCACACGTCTGGAACTTTATTGCTGTGCAGCTGTTTCACCTTTCTCTCATAGCAGAAATGCAATGCAATTCTGTCACTGGGGTTGTGAACCCTGTAGGATTCTGAAGCAAAGCTTCCCTTTTCTCTAACGTTATTGAACAAGGTGGAACTTCCTATCTAAATATCCAAACAGAAATACTCTTCCAACAGAAGTCTTCATCGACTCGGAGAATGCTCAAAACTGATTTCTACCATGACTCACTCTTGTGAAGCAGAGAGATGTTGACTGAGGAGCAGACATGTCAAGATTAAAAAATATAGAGTTCCAAATACTACCCGAATGTAGAGGAAACTCAAGCCGAAAGGAGAAATGCTATCTTCAGTGCAAACAGAAGGAAAAATCAATTTGCAGTGCTCAAAATATAGAGAAATGGAAGTCTCATTTTTTCTTCTTGATAAATGTATTAGCTTCTTTTACTAAGGTATCAATATCCTCACTGCCCGAACTTGGTTCCCATTCTGAATCTTCATCAGTAGGCTCCAAATCATCTTCATCATCTTCATCATCTATAAAACTATCATTCAGACTGTATTCATTGGAGTTGCCGTCATCATCATTTTCACCAGTCAGAACACTTTTACCTATGAAAGGGAAATAGTATTTTTATGATATTATTATAGTTAGTATCCTTATAGAACAACAACAAAATTACATTTGTATAACGCCTTTCACGTCGGGAGGACGTCCCAAGGCGCTGGACAGACAGAGTTACGGACCCGAGCTAGGGTCGGGTGGACAGAGGGTAGGGGGATCGAAAGCACGGTCGAAGAGGAGGGTCTTGAGGTGGGTCTTGAAGGTGGCGAGGGAGGGGGTGAGATGGAGGGACTGCGGGATGGAGTTCCAGAGGGTGGGTGCAGAGTGGCGGAAGGCCCACCCTCCTATAGTGGGGCGAGCAAGGTGGGGGACGTGAAGCAGGCCGGAGCCTGCTGAGTGGAGGGAGCGAACAGCGTGGTAGGGTTTAGGAGGTCGGAGAGGTTGGGGGGAGTAAGACCGTGGAGGGCTTTGAAGATGAGGGCCAGGATCTTGAATTGTATCCTCTGTGTGATGGGAAGCCAGTGGAGTTGAGCAAGGATGGGGGTAAACACTCAGTTTACTTGAAATAAATGTAGAGAAAACCACAAAAACACATTTAAGTCTATTATGCACAATGTATTAACTGACTGTAAAGGCAAGTATGCATGTTTGTGTCAGCCAGGCTCAGTTAGTAACAGTCTCGCCTCTGAATCAGAAGGTTTTGGGTTTAAAAATAACATATTACATTTGTATAGCGTATTTCATGTTGGAAGGACGTTTTAAGGCGCTTGACAGTCAAGGGTTTGCATCCGAGTTAGGGGTTGGAATCAAGAGAGATGGAACGTAGTGGGGGTGTGGGAGTATGTTTAAGTCCTGCTTTCGGCCTTTGAATTCATAGTTTAGGTTGACACTCCAGTGCAGTGTTGGGAGCGCGCTGCCTTGTGGAGATACCATCCTTCGAACAAAATGTTAGATTAAGATCCTTAACTGCGGACGTTAATGATCCAATGGAGTGACTTGTACAGAGGAGTTTCTTCTAGTGTCCTGACCAAGTCCCCCAGATACATTTTTGCATTGGAAGATTGTCAGCGAGAATCCCAGGAGAAACTCCCTCCTCTTTTCAAACAGTGACATTGATCTTCTACCCCTAGATGAAGAAGAAGCCAACAGGACCTTGGGTTAGCATCTCATCTGGAGTATTTTTTAAAAACTGTTATTACAGTTTAAATCAATCCATAGTTTCTAAGTGGTTTTCAGTTATGAGTCGGCCAGACTAATAACACTGCCACATTACAATGGAGTAATGTAGCGTATTGGTTAGCATGCTCGCCTCGTAAGCGAGAGGACTCCGGTTCGAATTCCTGGTGGGGCAAAATCTTAGGCAAATTTCCTTACTCCTCACGCCTCTGTTTAACCTAGCAGTAAGTAGGAACCCAGTTGTTAGTCAACTGGCGGATTGCTTTCCGGAGGTTGATTGGATCCATCTAAAAAAAATTTGGTCACTCAATCCAAAACTGTTTGTGGGACACTACTGGGCACAATTGGCTGCCGGGTTTCACCCACAAAATATACAGTTAAGTTTACAGTATATTCTATGAAACTCTTTGAGATGTCTCAATGACATGATAAGGGACTATATCAAAAGCAAGGATATTATTATTACATATGAATGGATGTTACTTTTCTTAGTATTATTATAAAATCTGCATTAATTACTAGAAACATTGAGAGGAACATGTATTTTTGTTTTTATCTCTGACAGACTTGTGGTTTATTGAGGGAATAGTTTGGTATTAAATTAAGAGATTTCTGCCAGGTTAGTGCATGCTCATTCTCCTTTTCATGCAGCACAGGATATATACCCTCAAAATTCCCTGTGGAATACTTTGAGATGTTTCGACAATAAGCAGCTATATCTAATCCAAGAGGTTATTATTAATTCCAAATTTTTTTCAAACACTTCTCACAGAGCTCAATTTCCCGAAACTCGTTTTGAAAGCAGCACTTCAAATATTTTATCTTCCTCCATACTAGTCTAAGCAGTAACTCCAACTATGTTTGTGTATAGAATACAGAGTACAGAGCAAAGGTCTACATTGTACAGCAAATATTGTGCGAAAGCCAGCCTCTGTACTTTGCAGTGAATCACTGTGAAGTGCTATGACATATCCTTCTGACGTGAATGGCACTCTATTAAATACAAGGATTATTATTATAGAAACAGTTGCATCACTGATAAAGCTTTCAGGGGCTGCCTTGAATTTAGATTGAAAGATATGAAATAAACTCAAACTTGTTGTCCTATTTTGTGGCAAACTGATTGTTGTCTAGTTTCATTCATTCGAGCGCAAACATGTCCAACACCTTTCTTTTACTGTTACTTTAATTATCTCAGCAGCTCACAAACTGAACAATTTACTCCACAAATCTAGGTTATCTTTGAGTGAGGTTATTGCAGACAGTACAAATATAAATCTAAACATTCGAGTTCCAAATGTTAGTGGAGTGAATAAACCAATTTGCTTTTCTCTTTAACCTTTCCTGCAGAAGCAAAATTGAAGTTAAGTTTTATGGGATATAATGAGAAGTAAGAAATATCTGCAAATACCTACCAATATAGGAAAATGTAAATCACATTTCAAAATTTCCTTTGAAACTGTATTAATGAATAATTCTTGCATTTGATATAAAGCCTTATTGAAATGTCTCAAAGCATTTCACAGGACTTACTATAAAGTGTTTACTGTGTAAATAGGAAACTTCTGTTATTTGTTATTAACATTATACTGTATACCCTTCAGTGGTATAGACAACGTGTGTCAATCTTGACATCGGTCAGCAGTGTGTGTTTTTTTAGGGAAACAGCTCTCATTTTTTAATCAATTTAAAAATTCCTTGCAGCTTATTGCTCATTTTATATAATTTAATGAGGATGTGGAGTCCTGTAGCTCAGTGGTTAGAGCGCTCGCTTTGCAAGCGAGAGACCTGGGTTCGATTCCCAGCAGGGTGAAACCTTGGGCAAGTTTCCTTGTAATTTCTTTATAATTATAATTTCCTTATAATTATAATTTCCTTACAATTATAATTTGTCTGATAATAATCCCTCAAAAAAATAATAAAATCGATCACTTCAATCCACGACTGTTTGTGGGACACTGCTGTGCGCAATTGGCTGCCGCAATTCGCCCACAAATATACAGTCAATTCACTTTACAGCATATTCTGTGAAGCGCTTTGAGACGTCTAGAAGACGTGAAAAGTGCTATATCAAATGCAAGGATTATTATTATTAAGGATTATTATTATTAATTTTGTTTGAAATCTACTGGATGCATACGGTATTTTAAAAATAATTACATTTTCCAACTAACTGCACTTAACTTTGGTAAGGAAGAAAATTTTACATATTAGTCCTTATTATTTAATATGTTCGCCATTTCATTTGATATAGGCCTTACACGTCGAGCTCCTCATTGCTTTCTCCTCGTCCGTAAACTGCAGCTCTATCCACTGCAACATCGAGGCTGCCCCAGGCAGTCTGCTGAAAAACAGAGCAATTACATACCTTTCCTCTTTGGTCTTCTTTGTTCACTTTCTAAAGTTAAGAAATGACTGCATTAGAGGAGAGAAAAGCAAAATTGCACCAAATTTCCAAGAAAATGCCATTATCTTAACAGCCACTAAAATATAATTTCCTTGCTACCCTGCAAGTTGCTGACTTGTAAGCGAATTTGGACGTGGGGTTAGTTCACGAATCAGCAAGACATTCCGCAACAGAGGATCTGGCTAGTGAGTCACACCCATCGGATTCAGTGGAGCGGAACCCACTTTCAGACATTGCTTTCCCCAGAATGAAATTGCCGGTTACATCAGGTGCTTGATAAGTTATCTCTACTAATTTGGTTAGTTATTGCATACTTACCGCATTACTGCAATGCCTTGGATCTGATTGAGTAAGAATAATAATCCTTGCGTTTAATATAGCACCTTATCACGTCGTTGAGACGTCTCAAAGTGCTTCACAGAACACATAGTGAAGTGGATTGACTGTATATTTTGTGGGTGAAACGCGGCAGTTAATTGCTCACATCAGCGTCCCACAAACAGTCGTGGATTGAGTGATCAAATTATTTATTTTTTGGGGAGGAAGGATTATTAACCCCAGAAAGCAATCCGCCAATCAACAAACAATTGGATTCCTACTTTCTGCTAAGGAAACTTGCTAAGCTTTCACCCACCTGAGCTCACTAACCACTAGCACTACATGACAATCCCATATCCCCAATAACTGAGCACTTCGGTGATCTGCTAAACATTTTATGTTTTTTGTAGATGATTCTAGTGTTTCTAGACTCATTTCCACTGAGCAGAGGTGGAGTGTGAGAATGCGAGGCACAATTGTTAAGACACTTCAAAAGAGAATTGGATATGTATTTTATATATTTGAGGGACCTGAAAGAGAAAGGGAAAGAGCAGGGAATCGAGGTTTGAGCTGTTACTAATTTCTCCTTTAGAGATTACCACGCTAATGTCAATGACTTGCTCTTGGAGATATTGTTAACACCTAGATTACTATAGCAAAATGTATATTAAAAAATAGATAACATACAAAGATGTATAGAAATCAGCAGTTCATACTAATTTACCTGGAGGCTTGGTGTGTTTGTAATCCTTCTTGTGCTCTGGATTTTTCCTACAAATGGTAAAATACAGGCAGTATTTTAATTTACCATCAGCTAAAATGAGGCCCTTTAAATGATGGTGTTATCCAGTCCATTGAGTCTTTTCAGTAATGCAACTGGATTAATGTAATAGTTTAGTTAGAAAATAACAGATGTTTTAATGCAAGCCTCATTTTCGCCCATTACACCACCTAATAGAATTGTCCACAGTCACTGCGCATTCCAGTATAACTGTGACCTCTTTGGGACATTCTCCAGAAGTAAAAGTCGCTATAGTAAATGTAAGAATTATCATTAATTTTCTCCCCTTCTCTCTGAAAATGTTGACTACAGATCAAAGCTTTGACAAGTCTAAATTGCATAGTCATTTCCACACTCGCTTTACCAAATGAAGCATTTACTTTAACATCTAATTTTATTCAACCGAGCTCACAAACATTTCTAACCTGTAATCAAAAGCTAAATTATAAAAAAAATCCTTGCATTTGATATAACACCTTATCACGTCGTAGAGACGTCACAGAGTGCTTCACAGAATATATTATAAAGTATATTTTGTGGGCAAAACGCAGCAGCCAGATTACGAACAGTGATGTCCCGCAAACAGCCATGGAGTGAGTGACCGATTTTATTTGGGGGATTATTGGCCATGACACCAAGGGAAACCCCCTTCTCTTTTTGAATAGTATCACGGGATCTTAAATATCCACCTGAAGAGCCAGTTTAACGTGTCAAGCAATCTAATGTACGTTACCCGGCCACCCCCACTCTACTACATTCAAAATCTCTCTTTTATATAAGGTGCCCAAAGTATAAATTACTACGGTTGAACTGTAAAATATACTAATACTAGCTTTCTGGATGGAATGTAAACATCTAAAAATAATTTACAGCTGATTTTATAAACTTCTGCAGCAATAATGTGGCTTTAGAATTAGCTCGTGAAAATGCGTGCTGAATTCACGGTCACTGCACTTTACGGTAAATCTGGTTACAACGCGAGCTAGCACCTGAAAGTACTTTATAGACGTTTCATTATTTCTGCAATAATAAATGGTTTTAAAATCGGTGTGGGATAAACAGCCATTACACTTTGCAGTGAATCCTGTGAAGCGCTTTGAGATTTTTTAAAATTAAAACAAGTAAAATAATCTATTTAACAAAGCTTCCAATCCATTGCTTTAATTCGCCTTAATGTGAAGTGCTTTGTGATAACTCACTGAGGAGATAAGGCATTAATTATGTCAAATGCAAGGATTATTATGTTATTGTAACTGTTGCACATCCTGCTGGCAGTTTGCCCCACCTGTAACATGCAGTCCCAAAAGGACACTCCGGTCTGTCGTCATCACCATCCACTGAGTCCTCGTAATCAGCATCCCCAGGATGACTGAAATTTTGGAAATGAACCGGATTCTTTCTATGAAAAACAGATTTTGTTTTACTGTAAAAGAAATCAAGATTCTGGATACAACACTAACATCTGGAAGTACTTTATTGCCGATTTTATAAACTTCTGCAACAATAATGTGGCTTTAAAATTTATGGGTGAAAATACGTAGACCGGACAGCCACAACACTTTACAGTGAATCCTGTGAAGCACTTTGCGATTTTTAAAATTAAAACAAGTAACATATTGTGTTTCACAAAGCTTCCAATCCACTGCCTTAATTCAAGGACACCTTTTAATGGTTTGAAGTATTTTCATCATCAGATTGTCACGAAAAACATGCAAAGTACAGAAATATTAAAGCATTTGCATTTTTGTTTCTAAATTGATAGCACTCTCGTTTCTACTATTAAGAATGCTCATCAAGTACTGATGACATAATAAATTTGTCAAATAACCAGAGATTGAGTATTAAACACAGACACTGTTATTCACTGGCACCCAAGCACAGATCAGACAGGCTAAGCAGATGGTTCAGGGAGCCAGGTAACATTCACATGATGTACTGGAGCAGGAAACATACATACCGAGTACAGTGCAAAACAGCTGCAGAATATGGATGAGATAAAAGGTAATTTTACAGCACAAAGGCAAAAAAAAATTCAGAACACAAACAGCTTATTTTCCTTTCCAGGCTTTGCGTTTTGAATTGGATCGGATGGGTTTGTTGTCACACAGTCAATGCTAACTAAACAGATGTACTATTGCCGCAGCTTGCAGTTCCTCTCATTTTCTCTGATTTTCTAGTGCTGCATTTCAGCAGTCGGGTACAGCAAATTATTTGCTGCCATTTCTAGGGTTGCTTCAAGTCTGCAGTAAAATCTATCATTTTATAAGACTTGTCTGGTTAAACACTAAATAGTTAAACTGAAAAAGATTAAGCCGAAGGGATGATACAATACAAACTACAACAATAAGATTACATTTGTATAGCGCCTTTCACGTCGGGAGGACGTCCTAAGGCACTTGACACTGCTGACTGGGCTCCCGAGGTGGGGCTGGGAGCCAAGGGGTGAGGGAGGAGAAAGTTGACTGAAGGCACGGTAAAGAGATACCTTGCGAGATGGACTTTACTGCTTACAAAAAGATTTGCTTCCCAACTCAGGTTTTGCATTATGAATAATGGAAGTTCAACAACACAGAGTGAAACTCTGATTTGCTCTAACCACAGCACCAGTTCAGAAGACCCCAGCGCATTAATGTGGCATTTTATAATAATAATCCTTGCATTTGATATAGCACCTTAACACGTCGATGAGACGTCTCAAAGCACTTCACAGAATGTATTGTAAAGTGGATTGACTGTGTATTTTGTGGGCGAAACATGGCAGTCAATTGCAAACAGCAGTGTCCCACAAACAGTTGTGCATTGAGTGACCAATTTTTTTTTAGTGATTATTACCCCTGGAAAGCGAGCAACCAACGATTAACCAGGTTCCTACTTACCGCTAGGTAAGCAGAAGCATATGGAGCAAGGAAACTGGCCAATGCTTTTGCTCAGCAATTGAACCCGGGTCCTTTCGTTTGTGAGGCGAGCGGGCTAACCAATATGATATGGGACTCATTTAAAAAGCAGATTGATGGTTGCTGTGCAGTGATGAGCTCTGATGGGAATCCACAAATGTTTACTTCTTTCTCACACCACCCTTATAAATGCTGGACTATTTTGTGTCACTGTATTACATTAGGAGTGCAGAGAACTGGAAAATAACATTCAGTCCATCTGCCCAGACCCAATATGATAATAAAATCATTTGCTACTCTCTTTGTCAAACTACTCAAATCAATTCTGTGGCTAAACAGAATCTAATTCTCTCTTTAATTTGTGGACAATCTGCTTCCCTGAGTATTCCATTCCACATATTCCCTACTCGCTGCATAAAGTATTGACGTTTAAATGGTCTATTCATTCTTCCCTCTTCTGAGCTGGAATCCATAGCGCAAATTCTCTTCTTTCTCCACCTGCGAGCACCTCCATTTTCATGATCATATTTACCATTTTTTGTTATGTTCTGCATTTGTCTATGTTAACGCCCATCTGTCGCGCTTTGGCTCCATTTTTCCTTCTTATACCACTGATTTGCCCGTATATCTCAACATCGTGAACAAATGTTAGATTCCAAGACAATTCTGAATAGTGAGAACAACGGTCCCAGAATAGACCTTTGTGAAACTCCATTAGTCACAGCCCCAGACAGAGCATTTTCCATTTTATCACCACCTCTTCTGCTGCCTATTGGCTTTGTCAATTTTCAATCTAAGGACCGCAGATAATACACCATTTCTTTTCAAGAGCCTTTTTGAAAACCTCAGGTTTGAAAAACTGTCAAATGTCAAGTAAATTGTATTCACTAGACAGAACTCAATTTTATAGGACATACAGGATCTGTATAGGTATGTATATGGAGGGTTGCTTGGTATTAACAAGCAACAAACCATGTGGCTTGTTGCTTGTTAATTTGAAACTCATTGGTCCGTGGTCACAGTCTAACCTAAGTAGTCAGGAGAGCAGAGAACATGCCTCTTTGTGAACTGCATGTGTAGCGGATTACATGGCCATCCTTTCAATTCACAATCCATGCACACCATTAAGGGAAGAAATGAAAACAGTTAATAGTATCAAGAGACAAAATAAATGTGGTAGAGGTAGCTTGGAGCATATGGAATACTCAATGGAACCACAGGAATATTCCTGCACAAGGAAATATGTGAGTGCTTTTCCCCCTGGGATTCTGAGATGTGACCCAAATCATACTATTTTGTGCCATTGCTAACAACAGAAAATAAAACACAAACTAGTGCCTCATTACTTTTTGCTTCCCATCAATGATACACAGACAAACCAACCTCTAAACACAAAGGGCATCATATTATCCCTATATTAAAACAAATATGCAATCAAGGATATTTTAAATCTAGCTTGTGATACAAAGCACTTGTGAAAGACATGTGATAGGAAAAAAAACACACAACTTCAGCCCACCACAGAACTCAGTCTGGTAAATAAAATGTTGTGAATAAGAGACGATTACTCTAGTGCTGCAATTCATAGCCATTTCATCCAGACGGTAATGGAGCTAACAAAAAGAGATTCTATTTGTAATTTTTCTTTTTTCTTTAAGATTGGAGTCCGCTGCTTCAAACAAGATGCAAATCTTACTTCGCCCTGGTTATCAATGTTACCTGGCATCTTACACACACTGCAATGAATGAGGGCAAAACAGCAGGCTTTTTTTTTTAATTTTGACTCTTATATGAAATTCCACCACCCCCCAACTCCCATCAAAAGCCCACATCTTAAAGTAATACTACAGATCACAATGTAACCTTTAAAACAGTGAGTTTTGGATTATTTCTTCAACTGTACCTGTAACAGTTATTTCCATACATGCAAGGGGTTTTCTTGGATTGCTTTTGCTCGATTGATTGAGGGGCTGTTGCACCCTTCACTGTCCTGTGCTCCACATGTTCTGGACTTTTGCCTCGATCTACCTTGCCCAGTCTTTGTCCGCGTGATGTTGCTGATTGTTGTGGACTCTCCTGCTCACTCTGCCTGGATGTCAGTCCCGGCTCCTCCTCCTCAATATCACTAATTTCCCATTCATTCATATCCAGAGATTGTGTTGAGTCGGGTCCTTGTTGGGTCTGGCCTTCATCTTTGCAGAGCCTCCAGGTATTTTTCTCTGTAGTCTTGGCTGGCGTTTCGGGTTCATCATTTATTTCCTCTTTATTTTTCCCGCTGGCGTAATTTGCCTCAGTGGCGCTGTTCTAGGATCGACAAAATTGCAAACACGTGAAGGGTGTAAACAGAACCGTTACAAACCACCAAGTTTGCCTTTTTAAAAAATAGTTTGCCATCTGTGCAGATTCTGTGAATATCGTGAAACTATTCTTAACTACTTATTGAAAATAAATTGACAAGTCAGTTTCTAAAGCTTGCTTAATGCGAACAGGAATCTTAGTTTTCTATTCACTGCGAGTTGACGATGCAAGAGATCAAGGCTCTTGATCTGACAAGCACTGCGCCGTGTGATTTGGCTGTCAGGGCCACTAGCGTGCTAGAAGTGGGGTTAGTGGTGACCCGATGACCTGGAAGTCAGACAATTTTTACCCAGGAAGCTGGATGGTCGGTGCCGAAGCCTACCATTATCCTACTATGAACAAGTGTTTTCTACCAATTTGAAACACCACTGGCTGAAGTATTCTACCTTCATTTCTGTGGGAATTTCACCCTCATTTTGTTCCGTGGTCTTGAGTCTACCCTTCTTCTCCGGTGGAGGATCTGTTGCTCCAGTTTCTTCGTCACTCTCGAAGGACTCTTGTCTCTTTCTTCCTGTTTGGTTTCCATGAGGCTTAATCTGATTTGCATCACCTCTTCCACTCCTCCCACCTAGGCAGAAAACAGCACAATTGGTGATACTGATCATGAAATCAAGTACGGTAGGCAGATCAGTTTCCAAATTACCACAGGACCTCAGTTTAAAGTTTCAACTGAAAGACAGCACTTCTGCTACAACAAAGCACTGGACTGCAGTCTATGAGTTCTCAATACAACCTTCCAACCGACACAAAGCCAGACCGATATTTATGTGTATAGCACTACTATAAAAATAAACATTACATGTCAACAGGTACATGCCAGAATACACCAGCTATACCTATGGGCTTTCTGAAAAATCTGACATCATCCAATCACCATTTCCATTTAAGCAGGTTAAACTAATTCCACATAATTAGAAGATAGTGTAATGAAAATACATTCAATTTGGTTTATTGAAGTGAATCTCTCTTTAAACTGGATGTAAATATGATTCCCATCATACGGTGCCCACCTGCCCAATAAATTAAAGAAGCTATCCAATAATGAAAAAAAATGTCTATTTCTTGAAACTGGCAATAATTATTAATTTATCAACAAAGTACTGATAACAATTTACGTTTCACATTGTACCTCTCAAAGAACTTTACACAGTTAACAAGTAATGTTATTTTTTATTAGATATAATAGCTAATAGTACTTTAGAATAGTAGCTTTAACCGCCTTGTTGAGCTGATAGTAACGGGTGTTGAATCAAAGAACCAAAGGTCTCATGTGTTTTATCTTGTTGATTGTATCTTGTTGCTTATATCTTTGTTTATCTTCTCTTTTACTTTCTTCTAATATTACTGGAATCATTGGTTTGCATCACAGTCCGAACACCATGACTGAACAATTCTCTTTTACTTTGTCATTTTTCTTCTCTTTTGTAATTGTCCGTTTTTTTAAAAAAATATCAGGATGGTCCGTGTGAAACAGCACATCCTCAACACACCTGATTTTTTTTTCAGGCTGGTTTACACAAGCTGGGACCATCCTCAAGGCTGAGCTGATTCAAACTAAACCCACACACTTCCCACTAATTTAACACTTCAATTCACACGTCATTTTCCATAACATTTCTAATTAAACTAAAGTAATATTTTAAGCAGTAATATTTCTGATTCCAGCATTGATAGAAGCTGATTATTTTCAAGAACTAAAAAAAATGGCTTCCAAATTAAGGCTGAATTTAACATAATTTTGCACCAGGTTAAATTTTAAAATAAAATAATCCTATGAGCTAAAACTAGGTGAGCACTGTTACATTCCTCTTAATGACATGAATATATCAATGTATTTAACATTAACATTAAGAGAAACAGTTCTGATCATCATAACGCCACAGGGATAGTAAAATCTAAAGCGCTACAGCCTCAGAGAGCAATTCCAGTCTCAAACAACCCCAAAATGTGGTATAGAGGTGATCAGCTTGTTAGGATTCTGATCACAGTGACACTGGAGGAGCAGGTATCCTTGTTTCAATGTTTAACGCTCCTGCCTGAAGTCTTTTCTTTTAAGTGGCGCTGCAGACTCACAGCACTCAGAAATACAGAATCCATCCAACACCTCATTCTGTAAGATCTCAAAGATGCTGAGTGCATGCCAAATTTCTGATCTATCTCCATCGATTTTATTTTGGTCAAAATTAAGTGTGCTGTGAGCAGAGAGATAGATAGATGGTGCCCATGCTGGAGGATAGCATTAAACAATGGTGGCGCACTCATTGTGCGGGAAGGGATGTGTAGACGAGTGGAGAATCTTGAAATCGATCCGTTCTGTGATAGGGAGCCAGTGGAGCCTGGCGAGTCCTGGTGTGATGGGCGTACGGATTTTAGTGTGGGTGAGAATACAGTCGGCGGAGTGCTGAATCAATGTCAGGCTAATGGACACAAAAACAACGCAAGAGGCGTAAGGCTCGGAAGGGACTAATTTTGGATCGACCCGGATGGTGGAGTCTCTAGAAAGAAAGCAGCATTACTGATGGTAATGTCAGTTAGTTTCCAAACATGCAGTTCTAAAAGGAGCTTAACATTTTAACAATGCCACCTTTATCCAGCTATTAATTGACTCAGTAAATCTGAAGTAAAATCCCATCAAACTAGGAAAAAGAAATAAATAGCCTTTAGGCAGAAAAATCAAAATGTTGATGCTTCTCAGCACTGCTATCTGGAGGAAAACAGCAGGTGACTTTACAGACATCATTCCCCAATCAATAGCACACTCACAGAAAGCTACTCAGCCAGCTGAACACAAGAGCTATTTTTTGCCAAGGTCTAAACTTGACAAGTTATGTCACTGAAATTAACACATACCCTGAATAAAGTTGGGAAACAAACACAAGAGAGTTTTTTTTAAAAAAGAAAGCTATCTAAATAATAAATATAGATAAATACTTGCATTTGATATAATGGCTTTCACGTTGGGAGGGCATCTATAATATAATAAATATAATCCTTGCATTTGATATTTGATACAGCGAGTTATCACGTCTTCGAGACGTCTCAAAGCGCTTCACACAACACACAAAAAAAACTCAAAGCATTTCACAGGATTTACTGTATTTCATGGCCGTACGAAGCAGACACTTTGTCCATAGCATTGCCCCACAAGTAGGCATGGAGTGAATAACTAATTTTATTTGGGGGATCGTTGACCAGGACACCGGGAGAAACTCCCTTCTGCTCTATTGTAAAAGTAGAATGTAATCTGTAGTTTAATGGTTAGAGCAGTTGCCTCGCAAACTGAAGGACCCAGGCTCGATATACGAGTAGAGTGAAACGTTGGGCAAGTTTCCTTATTCCACACACCTCGGTTTACCTAGCAGTAAGTAGGAACCCTATTGTTAGTTCATTGCTGGATCGCTTTTCCGGGGGTAATAATCCCTTCAAAAAAATAAATACAATAAAAAAATAATTTGGACACTCAATCCACGACTGTTTGTGGGACACTGCTGTGCGCAATTGGCTGCCGCGTTTCTCCCACAAAATACATAGTCAATTCACTTTACAGTATATCCTGTGAAGCACTTTGAGATGTCTTGAAGACGTGATAAGGCGCTATACCGAATGCAAGGATTATTATTAATGGAGGGTTGTTTTTTTAAAAATAAATCTGAATATTATTTTGAAATCTTTTTGCGTGAGGTTAGAATGAACAGAATTTTATTTTCCCTACTTTGTTAGGTAAAGGATAGGCAACGCACATACTGCATCTCAACACCAACTGCGGAAGGGTACATTTTCCCTTTCTCACACTTAGTAGCCTTGGGGAATATCTCAAATCAAAATGACTCGATTTGATTGCAGCAGATTCAATTCCAAGTATAACTGGATAAGCCTCAATTACAGTACGAAGGTACTATTTAGGCGTCAGCATGGCTCAGTTGGTAGCACTCTTGTCTCTGGGTCAGAAGCCGTGCGTCAGGACTTTGAACTCATGCAGTCTAGACTGACACGCCAGTGAAATGCATAATAATTTCTGAAGTTCTACCTAGTCTTAGCCTGCAAAACCTTTTTGCCTGAAAATTTATGATGGTGCAGAACTGTGGAAAATTCTTTAACACCATCTACAAAGAATGTCCAGCATAGCAACAGGCCACTCTGCCCAACCAAATTGTGCTGGTGTTTATACTCCATGTGAGTTTTCCTTACTCCCTCCCATACCCTTCTAATCCCTTCTCCCCCATCTAGCTCTAGCTTCCTCTTGAATGGCTCTACACTATCTGCTTCAACCAGCGCTTTGGGTAACGAGTTCCACAATCTCACTACCCTCTGCATTAAGCAGTTCCTCCTAAATTCTCTTTTTGATCCCCTAGTTGCCTGGTTACGGACTCCACAACTAATGGAAACAGCCTATTTATGTTAACTTATGGAACTCCTTTATAATTTTAAACACCTCTATTAGGTTACCCCTCAAACATCTCTTCTCTAGTGAAAAAAGGCCTGACTTATCCAGTGTATCCTGATAGCCAAAACCTGCCAGACTTGGTATCATCCTTGTTGTCTCCGTTCCATTGCTCTTTCTATCGCTGTTCTATCCTTCTTATAATGTGGAGACCAGAATTGGACACAATGCTACAAATCGGGTCTAACCAATGTTTTGTATAAATTCAACATCACCTCCTCACTTTTATATTCTATCCCTCTGTGTATAAAGCCCATGACTCCACTGGCCTTGTTATAGCCTCATCTACCTGTGTAGGTAGCTATTTTAGAGATTTGTGGATCTGATTCCCCAGATCTCTTTGCTCCTCTAATCCTCTTAAGTTCCTACCATCTAGTCTAGACTATAAATGGCTTCTTTATTTTTCGCGCCGAACTGAATTTACTTCCCATTTTCTGACATTAAACTTTATTTGCCATCTGTCTGCCTATTCTGCTAGCCTGTTTATATCTTCTTGCATTCTTCTGCAATCCCCTTCACAGTTTACCACCCCCCCCCACCCCCAGTTTATTGTCATTTGTAAATTTTGACACCACATCTCCAAATCCTGAAACCAAATGATGTATGAACAGTAGCGGTCCTAACATGAAGCCCTGCAGACCACCACTTCCTACTTCTTGTTAGCCTGAGAAGATGCTCCTAACCTTCTACTCTTGCTTTTGGTTTCCATTCTGCTACCTCTTAACATAGAAGTCAATTTTCAACAGTTGGTAAAAAAAAATAACCAGCTTCCAAATTGAGACTGAATGATCCACTATCCTGCACAACTGTAAATTTAAGGATGCATTTTGCAATCTTCAAAAGTTATCTTCAAAAGTTAATAAGTTGAAAATAATTTGGAGGAAAAGTTACTTATAGGCCAGGTGCACCTCAAGTCAAGAAGAGAGACATTATCACTGAAATAGTGTTGCACCGGGGAGTCGTATCATGCAAGAACAGCAAAGCTGTGACTCAGAATGAGGGGGACAAAACACGCTCCCTTCAACTGAGAAACAGGATAAGAGTATACGGTAAAAGGTTTAGTCAGGAAACTTTAATAAGGTCACGTAGATTTATACAATAACAACTTATATTTATACATCACCCCTCACACAGGGTAACGTTCCAGAGCACTTGACAGTGGCGGAGGACGACGTTGAGTCAGGGGAGAGGTAACCATAGGCGCGATCGAAGAGGGAGGTCTTCAGGCACGACCTGAAGGTGGGGAAGGAAGGGGCAAGGCAGAGGGATAGAGGGGAACTGTTCCATAGTTGCGGGGCACATTGGGTGAAAGCGCTCACGGCCACCATTAACATCATCTAAATGCACACCTGGTACAGAAAATATCCCATACGCATTGCTTCACCAATGTTCAATACTCCATTACAAATTTTAAATTAACGATTAAATAGAACCATGGAAATGTACAACACAGTAAGAGGCCATTCAGCCCAATTTTTTTGTGTCGAAGTATAATAGCTTGATTTTATGCATACAAAACCGGTGCATTGACTTTGCCCATGTTTCCCTATTGACACTTCAAATTGCCAAAGCTTGGTCGATTATTTTCCTCCCTGAAGTTAAGCACAACATCAGGAATCATTTACCACCCGGTTCTAAACACAATGTTCTGCAGTGACTCAAATCAGGAGTGAATATAGTAGATAGAAAAAGTCCAGCTCCTAGTTTTGCAGAGCTAAATCAGTTTCAAAAGAAGATGCATCAAAAGCTAAAGCTATTGTGTGGGGAAAAAAATTACATTTTATTACAGCAACCTCTTGCTCCTTCAATGGGGAAGGTGCAACATCAGACATTTGGAGACCCTTTTAGAAGAGACAATGTATGGTTTCAACTTCAAACAAGCATGAGCAGGTTTTCATTTAATCTGAGGGATGCTGATTTCTTGTTTTGGTGAACATCAGCGGCTTTCGACCATCCAGAATGTTTCTGTGGTGTAATGTGTGGAATGTGGAACAGCATGGTGTAGGCTTGACTAGCGCAGTGGTTAGTGCGTTCGCCTCGCAAGCGAGAGAACTCAGGTTCAATTTCCAGACGGGGCAAAACCTTAGGCAAGTTTCCTTACTCCACACGCCTGTTTACCTAGCAGTAAGTAGAAATCTGGTTGTTAGTCGATTGGCGGATTGTTTTCCAGGGGTAATAAACCCTTCAAAAAAAAAAAAGAATTTGGTAACTCAATCCACGTTTATTTGTGGGACACAGCTGTGCGTAATTGACTGCTGTGTTTCGCCTCAAAAATATACTCAATTTAATTTATAGTGTATTCCGTGAAGCGCTTTGAGATGTCTCAATGACGTGATAAGGCGCTGTATCAAATGAAAGGATTATTATTGACTATGCTTAACTTTTCTGCCACTGAGATGTGTTGTTGAGTAAGACATGCGTGTCGATCGATGCTGAGGTTGCAGACATGGCTGTTTTTTGGAACTGAACCTGGATTCAAAAGTCAAATGCTTTCTGCTTGAATATTTATGTCTTTTATGCTGTGCTACATTTGTTGGTTGCAATACAATTAATGATTCATGCATTATATTACTAGCAGTGGCAGCCCATGGTTAGAATCTAGGGAGGCTAAGGCCTGCCCAATCGTTACTATTGGCAATGGATCCCGACCCCCACACCCCACCCCAATCAAAATGGGTAATAGAATTGGACATTCAGCTGTGCATTAGTGCAAAGTATCTAGGTTACTAGAGGATACAACTTATGCGTGTCCTTAATAACCTCGCGAACACATGTCACTTCACACCATTCGTGAAACCAGATATTTGCCAGGTAATGTGAAGGTAAGTGTTTATGGAGTTAGTCAGACAAAAATAAACAGTCCAAGAGATAGAAATAGAAGATTCAGAGAGAGAGAAATAATAATAAATAATAATCCTTGCATTTGATATAGCGCCTTATCATGTTGTTGAGACGTCTCAAAGTGCTTCACAGAATATACTGTAAAGTGAATTGACTGTTTTTGTGGGAGAAACTTGGCGACCAATTGTGCACAGCAATGTCCCTACAAACAGTCGTGGATTGAGTGACCAAACTTTTTGTGTTTCTTTTGCGGGATTATTACCCCCAGAAAAGCGATCCGCTAGTCGACTACCAAGTGGATTCCTACTTACTGCTGGTAAACAAAAGCATGTGGAGTAAGGAAACTTGCCTAAGGTTTCGCCCTGCCCGGGAATCGAACTCGGATCCTGTCACCTATGAAGCGGGTATGCTAACCAATAAACTACGAGTGACAGAAATATTTCATCCCCAAAGTCAAATGTTACAGTGTTGGTTACTATTGGCTATCAAGCAGCGATCCCAACTTTTGATGATTTAAGATAAACTCATTCTCAGAATTTTTTTTAATTAGCCTTCCCCACCTTGAATGCAGGAGCCACTGCTGTATGTTACGTAATAATAATTCTTGCATTCGGTAAGAGCGCCCTATCACATCGTCAAGACATCTCAAAGCGTTTCACAGGATATACTGTGATGTGATGTGACTGTGTGTACTTTGTTGGCAGCCAATTTGCACACAGCAATGTCCCAATAAACAGCCATTGAGGGAGTGACAAATTTTAGATATGCAACACTGTGCAGAAAATAGCAAATTCTAAAACAGAAACAATTCAGTTGGAATTTCATCATCTCAACTCATGGTGGAATAACGATGCTATTGATTGTAGGATATTAGAATATGCCCAAAGGAACATGGTGATTTAGCAACAGTGAATTCTGGTCAAATGCCTGGATGTAATATGGCAGCACCAAACACGTCATTTCCCCAACTCCCCAATCCACTTCTTGTTACCTCCACCAGACCGGCTCCAGCCTCCTGTTTGTCCCTAGTGCTCTAAGTTCCAGCATCGAAGGCCGCACTTTCAGCCACGATGCCCCGAACCTCTGGAGCACTCTCCCTCAATCCCTCTGCCTTGCCCTCTCCTTCCCCATCTTAAGGTTATTCCTGAAGACCTTCCTCTTCAACCATGCCTATGCTCAGCATCATGCTCTGCCACTGTTGAGTGTTCTGGGACTCCTACACCTACGTAAGGGGTGCTATTTAAATGCAAATTGTTGTTATTCAGGAACGTCAGATCTGCAAGTAACACAGCTCACTTAAACAAACTGCAATGTGTGTTGTCTGTAAGTAAACTGAAAATCCTGAACTGGAATTTTCTGAAACTTCTGAGTGGGAGATACAGTCGGTATTTAAGTAATAAACACTGAATGAAAAGATCCATGGATAAAACAGTACACTGGTAAGACTGTTATTATTATTATTATTATTATATTATCCTACCGCTTTTACTGGCTGCAGATGAAGAGCTTTGGACATCTGTTGAAACTTGCAGCATCCATGCTGGTAAGACTCTCTTTCTCTGTGCAAGGTCCAGTGGTTCACAGTCATTCTTCAGCATTTCCCTCTTCGACTGTGGAACAGAGGAATTTCTTCATTCAAAAAAAATATGCAAGATTATCTCACTATCCATTTAATATTTTACCTGACAGATAACAACCATACAAAGGTAAAGTCGAAACTTCCTAGTCAATTGATGAATTATTTAAATCTCAAGGGTATTAATAAAACCTTGATGTATGATACACAATTAATGGATATGTCAATCTGTCAAAATATTTCCATTGTATTAGTTATACTTTTTTTTCCTAAAAATGCATTGCTGTACTAGGTTAAAAGATGCTCATTCCCACAGTACTTGTTCAGCTGAGGGGTTTGCTTACATTAGGAGGGGGAAACATATCTTTGAATTTTAAAATAATTGCTCAACTAACTCTATTGCCTATATTTGAGAGATCATATGAGAAATCATAGGATTTGAATTGATGCTAATGAAAAATCATCGGATTTTAACCACTGATAAAGATCCTGGAAATTCCAGAGATAGATTGATGTAATGAACACTCTCTTCTTGGAAGGGATGCATCCTGCTTACCTAATTCCGGAAAGTATTAGGCTCAGGTTGGCAAGAACCGAGGTTTAGGGACCCCAGAGTGTGCGTTGTGGTACTGCTAGAGTCTAATCAGCTAAAACTGCATATCGCTGTCTGACAAGCTTTCCCGTTGCTTGTCCAGCTAGGACCACCCTAACCATAGAGCCTTGGCTTGCTGGGATAACAGGAGCTGAGTGGAATGATTTCCTGTCCCCAGAGGCTGGTGTGCCCTTAGTAGTCCTGCCAATGAGCCAGGCTGACTGTGCTGTTAGCAGCAGTGCCCTGGAATATTGCAGACCCGTCTTGCTCAGGAACCAGACTACCAAGAAGCCATAGAGGGCCTGCTCGATACCGACTTTCCATTGCCAAGCATGTCACCTCACAGTCAGTTCAGCTCCAAGGAGACTTGAACCCTTCTCCAAACAACCGGGTTCCAGGACATCAAGCCCACCTAACTCAGTTTTAATACAGGTTGGGAATGAGCAGTGATCACGCCACAAAGAAAAAAACTAACGATTATTGCAATACCTGCAAGGTCTTTACCAGGTTATGAGAATTACTATGCGATTCAGTTCTGTTTCTCTCTCTGGAGCTGGAGGGATCTTCCTTAGTCAAAGTCCTGGAAGATGTCCTTGTTGGGCTCTCTGTGGAATCCTGAAATGTGTTTTGGTCTTCGTTTCCTTCTTCTTTAGCCGTTTGCAAATTTTTGGGAGAGTCAGATTGAACATCAATGAGGTCTTCGAAGCTCGACAGCTGACTGTTTCTGCAGCACAGCAATTATCAACTAGTCAGAAATCTCATAATAATCCTTTGCATTTGACAGATGTCACGGTGTTGAGACCTCTCAAAGCACTTCACAGAATATATTGTAAAATGAATTGACTGTATATTTTGTGGGCCAAAAGTGACGGCCAATTACGCACAGCAGTGTCCCACAAACAGTTGTGGATTGTGTATCCAAATATATTATTTCTTTTTAAGGGTTTATTACGCACGGAAAGCAAATCAACTACAGGACCCCATATAATTCCACCACTCTTAATTGAAAACAATTTTAACAAAATCTGAGAAACTAAATATGAGATTTGTTATTCTCATACAAATTATTAATAAGGGCCCTTGTTCCATTGAAAGATATACTTAACCAAAGTGTGACTCAATTTAAGTCAGGGTTTGGTAATTTGGTCTTTTTAAAAAGAAAATTCACACCACCATTTAAACTGTTTAACCAAAGGATCCCAATTATAAAAATAATCTAATAATCCTTACGTTTGATATAGCAATTTAACACATCGTTGAAACATCTCCAAATGTTTCACAGAATTGACTCTAATATGTAGACACTGTGTGAACTGTAGGTGAACGTGGCAGCCAATTTGCATACAGCAATGTCCCACAAACAGCCAGGACCTGTTGGCCAGGACACCGGGAGGAACTCCCTTCTCTGTTCGAACAGTGCCACAAGATCTTTAACAGGCACTACAGTCACTTAATTTCACAAGTTATTATTATTATAAATCCTATAAAATGCTTGGCACTGTCTCAACAACATAAGGTGCAAGATCAAATGCACAAATTATGATATGAATTATGAATGACAGTAACTGTAGGTGAATCGTCTGACAGAAACAAGTCTATGAATATTTGCTTTAGGGAAGAATTGTTTTCTCTAGGGTGGAAAATTGATACAAAAAGTACTCCCTCTTGACCTAATTATCTCCTCATTACACTGATGTTGAAATTACTGATAGATACTGAGGTGAGATACAAATAATAACCTTAAAGTTTGTTCAAAGTTGGTTGAGATGACTTTATAGATGTACTTGTCTGGCAACAGTGCAAAACAATCTCCTGGGTTCAGACAATGCCACTTATCTTTCTCCAGGGGTAGGAGATGGGCGGTATTTGATGACTGATGGAAGCATGGATTAGTGTGAGTCTGGAACAAAGCAGAAGAGGAGCAAAAATTAACAATCATTGTTAAAAGCTACTTATTCATTCTTGTTCCAATCAGACTAATTATGTGTTCTGCAAATTTACATCAAATTATAGCCTCTAATCGGGTGAAAATGGTGCAGAGGTATCTTATTTGCTTTCCATCAACATCAGCATTAACGTCCTTCGGTAAATTCATCAGAAAGTGGGATCAGATTCTGGTCCCGATAAAGTACTAAATAGGAACAGCGCAAGTTAAAGCACACTGTCTATTTGGATGGGCAGATTGCCTATCATATTAAATAACCGTGCGAACGCTGCAATTATTTTAAATAGATTCTTCTTGAATGTCATAGAAATGGCAGCATGTTTGTTGAAGTACTAAGAAAAGGGCAGGATATAATGGGGAAAATAGAGGATGGCAATCTGCAGGCAATTAAAGCATGGCAGCATGCATTTTTCATTTCATTTCATACTGTGGCATTTCATTTCCACTCCCTTCGTCAGTCAAAGTCTGTCGCAAATTAAAGCATTTTTGAGGCAGACCATTTAGAGGAAAACAATTTGTGCAAAAGAAAAACTCTGCAGTCTGATAACTGCATAGAGCACACACAATAAAGTTTACTCCATACAAATGTATGCTTAATAGAATAATTTGATCACTCAATTTGTTTGTGGGACACTACTGTACGCAATTGGCTGCCGTGTTTCACCCACAAAATATACAGTCAATTCACTTTACAGTATATTTTGTGAAGCGCTTTGAGAGGTCTTGAAGACGTGATGAGGCTCTATATCAAATGCAAGGATTATTATTATTATTCTGTATTATCAAACACAAATGAGAGTGCTACCAACTGAACCAGGCTGACATCTGACCGATTGGCTAACCATACATCAGACATTGGCAGAATTCAAGGGATCAATGCCCACGCATATCCCAAGCCAAAATATGAAAAATCTTTGCAGTTGTATAATGAATTTCCTGCGTGGCTTTAATCATAATATTAAATAAAGCTCATCGATGCATCAACTACACAATAATGGTTAATCCATTTCTAAATATACAGGCCATATGACCTACAAGCATAGAAACCTCTAATGCCCCACCATAGTCTGCAGTAATTATAACCTCCTATTTTGGTGCTACCAATGCCATAATGGTGCTCAAAACAGCTGACAAATTAGTCATTATGTTCTGCTACTCCACAAACGCATAACGGAAAAAGACAATTTGCTTTGTCAGGGTCTAACTGCATTCAAGGTCGAATGAGTGGAAGAGATTGCAGAGTTATCCACAACCTACAGGACTTAGTAATAATAATCCTTGCATTCGATATATCTCATCACTTCGTTGAGACTTCTCAAAATGCTTCACAGATTATACTGTAAAGTGAATTGACTGCATTTTTGGCCGAAACGAGGCAGCTAATTGCGCACAGTAGTGTCCCACTAGTAGTCGTGGATTGATTGTCCAAATTCTTATATATTTTTCGAGGGCTTATTACCCTCGGAAATCAATCCGCCAATTGACTAACAAACGGATTCCTACTTATTGCTAGCTAAACAGAGGGGTGTGGAGTAAGGAAACTTGCCTAAGGTTTTGCCCCACTTGGGAGTTGAACCCGGGTCTTCGTTTATGAGGTGAGCGCTCGCAAAAACATGGTTGTCTTTCTATGCAATTCGAGATTCTATGGGCTGAGGAGATTATTTTGTTATTGCTTTAAACTCACCGAGGCTGTTTGCTTGACGTTGCCAAGGACAAATAAAAAACAAGAGTTAATTTTTCCTGGAGACATTGAAAATGACGATTTATTTGAGAAGAGAGAATAAGTGAAATGCAACACCCTCAGCAGTCACTGAACTGCGCTAGTAGGTCTGTGGGATTTGAGTGCCATCAGCAATTTATTCAGCCACAGCAGGATGCAAATCCACAGTTTCCATTTGGCTGATTACAGCTACTCTTGTCCGTTTAAAATTACGTTTCACCCATAGAATTAAAAATCCGTACTGCGTCCAGAGCTGTAATTGACCAATTATTAATAAGATAGCAAGAAGATGTGAGAAGTCAGGAAGAAAGGCGCTGCGCCTTTTGCTGGTGCAAAGAGCTAAATAACCTCAGAGGTCTGTTTGCACAGAGATAACTGTTGACAAAAGGGATGAAGGAGACCCCTCTTGCACTGCAGGAGATGAGGGATCAGGTGGTGTGCAATTGATGTAATGTGCAGTAAACGTTCGATTCTGCCTCAACAATTGGCGAGCGCAATAAAAAGTTATTCGCTTAAAAAAAATACACAAAACTGTTGACACAACATTTTTGCGGATTGTTACACTTAGGAGAATTTCTGGATACAAGCACGTTACGCTTCAAAACAAGATTAGGATTTTCCATTGGTTCAGATAATACAAAAAAAAGACTTAATTCTACTTTTAACAAGTCATTATGAACACTATTAATCAAAGCACATAGATAAGGTACAAATGAAATACATCATGGATTAAACATACTTATTTTTGTAAGCATTTGCTTCTAACATTGTAACCCATTATTCCACATCCCTCTCCCCATCTGGTAATTTTGACAAGTATAACATGTGAAGAAAAACTTCTGCAGCCCCAGAACAACACAGTTTCTTTCTTTTTAGAGAAAGAAAACAGAAGAAGGATGGAGATATACTGTAGAAAAAGGAGCCATAAGCATTACCGAAGCCTATAATAATAAACTTTGAATCTGGTATTGTGCCTTTCGCATCGGTAGGCTGTCACAGGATTTACAGTGGAGTGACTCAGTATTTGTTTGCGAGTGCAGCATCCCATTTTGCACACAGCTATGTCCCACCAACAGCCATTATATATTCAGGCTCTTAAAAGACTCTTTCCCAGTAGACAGGCAACGTACCGAAGTTAATAAGGTCTTCCATATACTGAGAAACCAGTTGTCTAATATCCACCGCAAACCAATTCAAGTTGTATTTCTAATTAAGCCTCACTGATCTTAATGAAAACTCTGGATCATTGCAACCCACTGCTCGATCTGACTTGGATTAGCATTTTTAATATAGCCCTTGAATTTGTATTTGTCATGGCTTTCATATTCTATGGTCCAGTTATTCTTGTTTCAGACGATCTCGAGTCCCTACAACTGATTGCTGCTATGCTGCGTTCATTCACACACATGTTGGTCTCACACGGTGACCAAAAATGATTTGGTGGTAAGATTTCACTGACTTATATATTTGCCTGCAGACCGATAAACTATAAATTGTAATTCTGTCAAAAGGATAACCTGCGCTGGCCAGAATACTGGCAATTTTCTGAGTTGGAATAATATATAGAAATTTATACAGCTTTTGCATAACCTTTTATTAAAACAAAAACAAGCATTTATATAGAGAGGATCAAAAACATATCCCTCTGTGCATAGACAATGCCAAACATTTCTCCATTACGTACCAACTCCAAAGAGGTTCTTGAGTACAGTCTCAGTTGTTTTCCTTTTTGATCTTCCTTCTAATAATAATAATATTCCTTGCATTTGATACAGCACCTTATCAATGTCTCAAAGCGCTTCACAGAATATACTGTAAAGTGAATTGACTGCATAAATGGTGGGCGAAACATGGAAGCCAATTGCCCCCAGTAGTGTCCCACAAACAGTCGGGGATTGAGTGAACACATTATTATTTTGCTTTATTTTTTGGAGGGATTATTACCCCCGGAAAAGTGACCCGCTAATCGACTAAGAAGTGGATTCCTACTTACTGCTGGTAAACAGAGACGTGTGGAGTAAGGAAACTTGCCTAATAATAATAATAATAATAATCCTTGCATTTGATATAGCGCTTTTCACGTCGGGAGGACGTCCCAAAGCACTTCACAGAACATACTGTAAAGTGAATTGACTGTATATTTGTGGCGAACGCAGCAGCCAATTGCGCACAGCAATATCCCACAAACAGTCGTAGATTGAAAATGACCAATTTATTATTGTTTTTGTTTTGGAGGGATTATTATTAGGCTCTGTGTGGAGTAAGGAAACTTGCCCAAGGTTTCACCCTCTGCCTGGAATTGAACCCAGGTCTCTCGCTTGCAAAGCGAGTGCTCTAACCACTGAGCTACAGGACTCCACTGAGCTACAGGACTCCACAAGGTTTCAACCTGAACCCAGGTCCTCTCGCTTGCGAGGCGAGTGCTCTAATCACTGAGCTACAGGACTGCCCATGCAGGTACCTCACTGATGGAGCCCCCAACCACCCCCTCCATGCTTAATGCCTCTCCCTCCCCCTCACTCTGCCCAGCCTCGAGAGAGATAGAGATCATCAAAGGCATGAAATCAGACATAAAGGGTTTGTGTCGTCCACCCTCCTTCTTACTCAACACGTACACCTGGCTGCCACCTTCTGGTGAGGTTTGATGGACACGGGTTTACACAGGACCATCCCTCAGCGAACATCCTCTCGCTTCAACCCCCAAACCAGCCCCCCAGGTTATCCCCGGCCTCCGCTCACTCCAGGTTCTGCTGGAACATCTCTATACCAGTGACCACTGAATGAATGTTCTTGTTGTGTCTAATGAATTCACACCCGTCACCTTTCTTTATCACACCACGTTCCAGGGTCCCGGTCACTACAGTGACCCGGCCTGGGATAGACTAGATCTGCTCAATGGGAAGCAGGAAGGAATAATCCAGATCACGGCTGGGGAGTCGGATGTAATTATCCACCCCATCCAACAGCTTCAGGACAGAAACCGTCCCGATGTTCAGACTTCGGTTCTCCAGAGCAGCACAGTGCTGAGTTGATGATTACAGGTACATTCTCCCTATCGTAACCAAACTCTGTCAGCAGCTCCTGAGTCTCCAGCTCCACCAGGTTCCAGTATCTCCTTACCCTCCCCCGCATCAGCCTTGTTTATATTCACCATAATATGCTGGATGCTGATCTGTTTGGGGAGGAGCAGGTGTTTTCTCGACTGAGGCATCTGTCTGTCTGTGGTCGTGACAACCAGGATACATCCACCCAACTGCGCCGTCCACAACATCATATTATTAACGTAGTGGGCGTAACTAGGACAGTCAGTGTGAGCTTAAGGAGTTGTGTACTCCACGTGGGAAGAGTTGATGGTGATGCCTCGGGCTTTCTCCTCTGGAGCGTTGTCAATGTCTTCATACTTCCACCTACTTCAGCTAGTACCTTCGTGATTGCTGCAGTCAGTGTGGTCTTGTTCTGATCCATGTAGCGATGGTAACAGATGTCGAGGTGAGGTTTTATCCCTGAGTGGGAGCATTGAGTAATGTCAAGGCACCGTGATTCGTGAAGATAATTGCACACATGAACAGAATTCCTATTACACCATAGTTGTTGTGCATAAAATACATCAAAAGGTGCACAGAGATTTGCATTTCAGTTTGTTTCTTTCCGATGTTTTCTCTCCCCATCCAGCAAACACTGCTCCAGAAGCGGCACCATGAAGACTGATATATACTGAATAATGTATAGCGTCAGCCTGGCTCAGGTGGTAGCACTCTCACCTCCGAGTCAGAAGGTTGTAGGTTCAGGCCCCACATTGGGGCTTTGAGCTCACAATTTAGGCTGAGCACTGGGTGAGCATTGCATTAACAGATATGCAGTCCTTCAGGTGATGTCTTAAACTGAGATTATGTCTGTCTGTTCACAAGGCCGCGAAAGATCCCATGGTGCTAATCAAAAAGGAGAAAGCAATTTCCCCTGGCGTCCTGGCTCACAATCCCCCAAATAAAATTGGTTATTTATTTCATGGTTGAATGAGGGATATCTTCAGGTATACCATACTGCATCTATATTATGCTGCAGCGGAATAACAGTTACCACCTCTTAAATCAATGTAATTTCAGTGTTAAGGGAGTAATTTTTATTTTATTGACTTTATACTATACAAATATACTTTTTTTAGAAAGATAGTAAAGCGGCAAGTACAAGAGTATAAATTAGCAAGTTAACCGCCTCACTGCAAAGTAACTACACTTTACAGTAAATCCTGTGAAGGTTCCTTGAGACACCGTGGACATATGACACTATATCAAATGGAAGAATTATAATAGGATTTTTATAAGCTATTTCGGCACATGAACTAATAACAAGTGTTATCATAACTGGTGGGTGTTCTGAAAGGGTGAGATCAGTGGAACAAAGGGACTTCTTCATCCTGGAGTCCTGTAGCTCAGTGGTTAGAGCACTCGCCTTGCAAGCGAGAGACCTGGATTCCACACGCCTGATAATAATCCCTCAAGAAAAAAAATAATAAATTGGTCACTTCAATCCACAACTGTTTGTGGGACACTCCTGTACGCGATTGGCTGCCGCATTTCTCCCATAAATATACAGTCAATTCACTTTACAGTATATTCTATGAAGCGCTTTGAGACGTCCAGAAGACGGGATAAGGCGTCAAATGTAAGGATTATAATTAATTATATATGTATATACAACAACTTGCATTTATATGCGTCACATGGGGCAGCACTTTGGGGCGTCCTCCCGACATGAAAGGCGCTCTATAAATGTAATTTTGTTGTTGTTGGGGCAGCGTCTTGGAGCGTTTAACAGTGGAGCCTGACGGCGAGCCAGGGGAGGGCGGAGATGACCGTAAGCATGGTCAAAGAGGAAGGTCTTCAGGCGTGATCTCAAGAAGGTGAAGGAGGGGGCAAGGCGGAGAGATTGAGGAAGAGAGTTCCAAAGTTTCTGAGTAGTGACTGAAAGCAGAGCCGCTGATGGTGGAGCGGAGGGGATGAGGGACAAGCAGAAGGCTGGGGCCAGTTGAGCAGAGGGGGGACTGATCTACACAATAAAATTCTGAATAAAACTCATCAACAGGTGCAGCACTTATCATTTGCACTTCAGTTAGTTTCCAAGAGATTTGATTTTTTTTNAAAAAAATCAGCCACCGCACTCCACTGTTATTATTTCTGAAGCACAAAAAGACTTATTTTTTGTTTCAGCTTGATAAGGGGCAACACAATGCATCTTTTTTCCTCTAGTGATTTGGTTGCAGAATTAAATCTCATTATGACGTTCTTTTGGGATGAAATCGAAGCCATAAAGAGATCACAAACAGTCAAATGCAGCGTGAAAGTAGAAAATAATCAATTAAATTGGAGATGGAGGTGTGACTTTTGCTTTACTGTTCACCAAAGTCAAAAATGTCTTGTCTCCAGCTTGGTGCATGTGAAGTTTTTCAGCATTGACTGGACACCATCTGGCTTTGCATGAAGCAAGAAGGTGCATTCTGACATGTTCTAAAGATTATTAATAAGAAGTAAAAGCTTGCATTAGGAAAATGGAAGAGTATGGTAATAATCTCATTCTCAGCCCATAATTTAGCTTTTTTGGGATATTAAAATATTAACACAAGGTTCCCTACCTTGAAAATGGACTTTCCTACTTATATCTCTAGTTTTATGATAGACTTCTTCATACATCTTGAGAGGCGGGGGAGGGGAACACATAAATCCACAGGAATTAGTCCTCTCTAGACTTCCACATACTGAAAAGTCTTCGCCAACGATACCCTCAGTATGCCATACCTCTTTGAAAAAATACTTAAGAGAGTGATGTCTGCAAAAGAGCTCAGTGGTTAGTGCATTCACCTCACAAGCAAGAGACCTTGGTTAGATTCCTGGCAGGGCTAAATGTTGGGCAAGTTTCCTTACTCCACACGCCTCTGTTTACCTAGCAGTAAGTAGGAACCCAGTTGTTATTCGATTGGCAGATCACTTTTCCTTAAAAATAATAAATTGGTCACTTCAATCCACGACAGTTTGTGGGACACTGCTGTGCGCAATTGGCTGCCACGTTTCGTCCACAAAATATCGTCAATTCCCTTTGTAGTGTATTCTATGAAGCGCTTTGAGACGCCTCGAAGACGTGATAAGGTGCTATATCAAATGCAAGGATTATTATTATATTGATATCCAAGGAATAGAGAAGCAGAAGTTAGGAACATCTTTCTAAAGTTGTTTTACATAATGGTCTTAGCGTGCGGGTCTGGACGCCACCAACAGCAATGGCAAAATCAGGCCTCACAGGATGCAGGTTGTAATTCCAGTTGATGCTGTGAGCTGATCTGAATAAAGACAAATGGTTAGATTCTACATTTGGCCCTAGAATCACTGGGTAAGGAAGAGGAAATGAAATCAACCAAGGCTTCCATTACTGATTGATACTGAGTAACGGTGTTGTAAGGTGAACGTTAGTCAACATCGATTGATGAACTGATCAAACTCGACTGCGATTCTCCCTGCGGTAAATCGTCTGCCAACACCTACTGTAAAGGCTCACGAATTAATAATGGCCATTTGCAAGAGATTCTGGAGAGCAATCCATGATTGAAGAACCATATCGCAGTGAACGTAAGAGAGAAAAAACTGGCGGAGAAAAGAAAATACAGAATTCTGATACGGACTAATAAATCAATAAAAATGTTAAATAAAATGTGCTATCTCTTATGCATTACAAAATGTACCAAATGCCCTAACTGGAACCTTGGCTGAAGCAAAATTCATATTAGCTTTCGAGAGGAAATTAGTTATATCCGAAAAGGAGAAATATAAAAGGGGAAAAGACAGGAAGATGGGACTAAATTGATAGCTCTTCCAGAGACATGCAAATGGCCTCCTTCTGTTGTACATTTCTTTGGTTCATATTTAAACATTGAACCCTAGAAATGTGCGATAGAGAATGTAAGACGAAATAGGCTGAAGAAAGCAGGCATTAATTTATAGGACCAAACAAGGCTACTATGACAGAAATACAGTTTAATATGTCTGCGAAACAAAACTGTTCCAAAGAAATTCCATGCGAACTGGAAGACAGTAATACGCTTTGTGGTGCCCTTGACTCAAACCTTGTGGCAAAAGGCAAACTCCATGCATGCTAGCCACAGCCCGCAACAGAAACAAACTCAGTCGGTCAGTCAGTGCTCATCTCACAGATGAACAATGTGGCAGTATACAACGTATACAATAGCAAACACTCCTCTCCTTAAAGACGGTAACGGACTTACCGGTTTGATGCGCAACTTCCCATCGATAACCTCCAGCAGGCCATGGTTTCTGGACACTCGTTTATCTGAAACCTAAAAATAATTACATCAGTTAAGAATACAATGTCCTGGAATATTGGATCTTCCTATGTACTTAGACACTTAGACAAATGTTTTCAAAATATTGTGGAAATATTTTCTGTTACACCATACTTCTGCAATCGAATAATATTATGGGAGTAATTTATACTTTATTGACTTTATAGTAGACATATACTGTATATATATGTTAATATATTTATTTTTTTAAATATATATAATAAAAAAAATGTAAAAAATAAGAGTTGGCAGAGGAGCAATTACAAGACTATAAACAAGTCTCTTGGCGTAGCGCCTGGAGTAATTACAGCTCTATTTCTTGCTACCAGTAAGAATAAAATAATTCAAGACAAAATGTACATTTCTACCAATACAAGACCAGAGGATCAGGAATGAGGAGAGATAATGCTGGATGGGATCCAACATTGAAATTCTACAACTATTAGATCCTAAAAATTTCAAGGACTTCACAGTAAATCCTGCAAAGCACTTTGAGCTGTCCTCTCGATGTGAAGGCACCATATCAAATTTAAGGATTAGTGGTAGTATTAATAATCAATTCTATCCAGAATATACAAGCATCACCCTATTGTAGGAGAGGGAAAGTTAACAGGTTGGAACCTATTACAAGGCAATGAGCTTTTGAGAGATTCAGGTAATGTTATTGAACACTTGAGATGTCATACAGTGCTATTTTATACAAAGTAGATGCAAGGAGTTTCTGGCTAGTTTCATTCTAGTTTTGCCAGCAGCGAGGGCCAATGCAGGCAACCTCAGTTCAATCTGATTCTGCTACGATATTATTAACAACAAAACACCAACAACAAGATTACATTTGTATAGCGCCTTTCACATCGGGAGGACGTCCCAAGGCGCTCGACAGAGTACAGCATTTCAGACCCGAGCTGGGGTTGGGGGGAAAGGGAGGGGAGGGGAAGGGGGGTGGCCGATGGCATGGTCGAAGAGGAGGGTTTTGAGGCAGGACTAGGAGGATAAGGAGGGGGCGAGGCGGAGTGACTGGGGGATGGAATTTCAGAGGTTGGGGGCAGAGTGGCTGAAGGCTCTTCTGCCAATGGTGGGATGGGTGGGTCGGGGGACGTGGAGCAGGCCAGAGCGGGCTGAGCGGAGGGAACGGGCGGGTTGGTAGGGGGTTAGGAGGTCACAGAGGTAGGGGGGGCGAGGCCATGGAGGGCTTTGTAGGTGAGGACCAGGATCTTGAACTGGATCCTCTGAAGGATAGGGACCCAATGGAGTCGGGTGAGAGTGGGGGAGATGGGGGTCATGGAGTTTGGTGCAGGAGAGGACACGGGCTGCAGAGTTCTGGATTATCTGAAGCCTGTGGAGGGAGGAGTTGGGAGGGCTGACAAGTAGGGTGTTTGCATGGCCGAGCCTGGAGGTGATGAAGGCATGAACAAGAGTTTCAGCGGCATGAGAGGTGAGGTAGTGGTGGAGTCGGGTGATGTTATGGAGATGAGGGAAGGCAGAGCGGGTCATGGCTTGAATTTGGGGGAGAAAAGACAGTTGAGGTCCGAGCAAGGCACCACCTGGGTTCCTGACTGGTTTGGTGAGTTGTAGTGTGCAACCATGGAGGTTGATGCTGCCAGAGCCTGAGCTGCTGAGGAAATATGCCCATATCCAGGACTTGATGTCTGACAGGACAGCAGTGGTCCTGGAGTTGAGGTTAGAGGCAGAAAGATAGAGTTGGGTGTCATCCGCATACATGTGGAAATTGACCTCATGTTTGCGGACATCATGTAGATATTAAAGAGGAGAGGGCCAAGGACAGAGCCCTGGGGGACGCCAGACGTGACAGTGCGGGGGTTGGAGGAGAAACTGTTAGACAACCAATAAAACAATGCATTTTTTCTGAATTTTTAAAGCAGAAACAAGTACAACAGCAAACTTGGAACCCAAATCCAAATGAGGAGATTAACCCAGGTGACAATTTCATACACGGCAAACTCCTGACAACTCATCACTCCAAGGAAAAGGGCTCAGTGACAAGTTAACCAGAGTGGTGAGTTTGGCATACGTATAAATATATGAATAAATGTGACCGGGATATCGACAGCATAATGACAAGTTAACTCAAGGTTGAGTTATCAAACATTTACTGTAATAATAATACTGATAATAATAACGATATAGCACGCTATAGGTTGAAAGTCTCAGATCACTTCGGAGTTTTTTTCTGTAAACTGTAGTGACTATATATTGGTAGGCGAATATGCAACATTCTACAGTAAAGCTTCCACTCATCCATGACCTCAAGCATTATTTTTAAAACAAAATGATCCAACTGGGATGTATTTTAATTAAAACGGAGATCTTAATAAAATTAATGTCAATGATGTTGTTTAACTCTATAGCACTCTACACATCTACAAACCAGTTATTTAAACTGTACATTAATGCCTTATTTGAGAGTGAATGTTTTGCCCATCAAAGTGAAGGATATTTGACACTTTACAGGTATTCTCAAGTCAATTAATTTACACCATTCTAATTAGTTAGAATTATAATCCTTGCATTTGATATAGCGCCTTATCAATTCGCGTTTCGCCCACAAAATATAGTCAATTACTTTACAGTATATTCTGTGCAGCGTTTTGAGACGTCTAGAAGACATGATAAGGCGCTATATCAAATACAAGGATTATTATTATCATCATGTTGTCGAGATGTCTCAAAACGCTTCACAGAATATAACATAAAGTCATTGACTGCATACTTTGTGGGCGAAATGCAGCAGCCAGCGGTGTACAGCAACGTCCCATAAACAGTCATGGAGTGAGTGACCAATTTTATTTGGGGGATTGTTGACCGGAATACCAGGAGAAATCCCTTCACTTTTCAAATAGTGCCATGGGATCTTTAACATTCACCTGACCTCGATTTAACATTACATCCGAACGACTGCACCTCCGACAATGCAACACATCCCCAACACTGCACTGAAAAGTCAACTTAAGACTATGTGATGCCAAGACCCGAGTGCAGCTTGAACCCCCAAGCTTCTGATTCAAAGGAGAGTGTGCTACCAACTGGGCCAGACTGACACACAACAACAACAACTTGCATTAAACCTAACATCCTTCACTCACGATAGTGTCTCGAAAACACTAAAAAAGTAAAACTCCTTCTGTTTTGCTTAACAGTGTGTATCAGCTCCCAAATGACTCAGTTGGTAAAGCCACTGCCCTGTGCAAATCTATTCCTTACAAACCAGGAAGGTTCCAGGATTGAATTAAGGTCTGAGCTGAATTAAGTTCCAGGTCCATGCTGAACTAAGTGAACTCAACAAGGGCAGTGGTAGAGATGAACAGTAATCTCAGTAATTTCACTGTCCAGCGCCTTGGGACGTCCTCCCGACATGCAAGGCGGGCGCTATCTATACAAATGCAATCTTGCTGTCGTAATTCAGGATCAGTGGAGAGTAGAGTGTGGGCTAGGATTCCTGTTTCTGACCGATACTCAGTGACCTCTGTTGGAAAGTACATGTTTGGACAGGTTGGGCAAAATTACGATGCTTTTAATGGAACAATCCAGTTTCCGACAGCAAAACAGTGACATCTGCTGGGAAGTACATGTTGGGACAGACTGGGCTAAATTCCGATGTTTCCAGTGGGCTCATTGCCTGGTGCTAACACTGCAAGTCCTGCTAAACCAGACTCCGGAACCAGACTAGCGAGATTGCCACAAAGGATTGACTCGATTCCGATATCCCACTGCTAAGCAGCTCTCCTTCGGACCAGCTTAGCTCCAATGGGGGGGGGGGGGGGGGCTCACCCCACCCACTCACCTCTTCCGGGTGGGTTGTCACAAATTGGTCTGGCATTCATTAAAATTTAAAAAGGAATACACAGTGAATATAAAAAGGAATATTGTCAGGTAGTTCTAAAGATTACACCGGAAAATATTGGTACATTTACTTTTCTCCCATTCTTGATGCCTCCGCAGGATTTAAGCAGCTTCTTCTGTAGGTTTTTTTTACCCCACGTGTACGTGCTTCAGCATCATTAATAATACAGGTAATTTGATTGGGGGGAAGGGGGAGTTCTCCTCCTGTCCTCGCTCACAGATTTAAGAAAATGGCCATTCATTTCAATGGCTGTTTCTCAGGACCTTACTGCGTGTAAATTGGATTTACCTACAAAGAAGTCCCAGCACTTGGCAGTAGATTATTATTATTATTATATCCTACAAATCACTTCAAGACATCCTCCTGACATGAAAGGTGCTATATCAGAAGTAAGGATTATAATTATTACTGCCGCACAAATGGTACTTCTTATTGATCAGTGATTTTGGTCAACCTCCAGTACTGCTGCCCAATAGTTCAATGTAGCATTGAATACAGAATAATTCTACAACAACAACATTACATTCGTATAGCGCCTTTCATATCGGGAGGACGTCCCAAAGAGCTGGACAGACAGAGTTACGGACCCGAGCTGAGGGTCGGGGTGGGAGAGGTGGAGGGCAGGGGGGGAAGCAGAGAGATCGAAAGCACGGTCGAAGAGGACGGTCTTGAGGTGGATCTTGAAGGGCGAGGGAGGGGGCGAGACGGAGGGACTGCGGGATGGAGTTCCAGAGGGTGGGAGCAGAGTGGCGGAAGGCCCGCCCGCCGATAGTGGGGCGAGCGAGGCGGGGGGAGTTGAAGCAGGCCAGAGCCCGCTGAGCAGAGGGAGCAAACAGGGTGGTAGGGGGTTAGGAGGTCGGAGAGGTAGGGGGGAGCAAGACCATGGAGGGTTTTGAAGGTGAGGACCAGGATCTTGAACTGTAACCTCTGTGTGATGGGAAGCCAGTGGAGTTGGGTAAGGATTGGGGTGATAGGGTCGCGGAGTCTAATGCGGGAGAGGACACGGGATGCAGTGTTCTGGATGATCTGCAGCCTGAGGAGGGAGGAGTGGGGGAGGCCGACAAACAGTAAGTTTGCATAGTCGAGTCAATCTAACTTTTCAATCAACTTATATTTTGATTTGATCTGCTACAGGTTTGAAGCAAAAGTACAGTGAATATCACAATGTTGTGTACATTAATCTGCGGACCTACAGTACTTGGTTCACACTGTTCTACCGTTAATCACTTCTGATAGTCGACATGTATTGATAAACTTTCCAGCTCTCATCAAATTCTGGTGCTCAAAGCAATTATCGTACACATTTTGCAGTACATGGTGCAATGGAAATGGTGATGTGCAGAAATATTTATGTAATACTTGTTATACAGTATCTGTGCTCATAAGAACATAAGAATTAGGAGCAGGAGTAGGCCATTCGGCCCCTCGAGCTGCCCCGCCATTCGATAAGATCATGGCTGATCTATTCTAACTCCACCTACCCGCCTTATCCCGATATCCCTTTAGCCACAAGAAATCTATCAATCTCAATCTTGAATATGTTCAAGGACTGAGCATCTACAGCCCTCTGGGGTAGAGAATTCCATAAATTCACTACCCTCTGAGTGAAGAAGTTTTTTCTCAACTCAGTGCGAAAGGGCTTAACCCTAATTTTAAGACTGTGACCCCCGGTTATAGTTTCTCCAACCAGGGGAAAAAGTCTCCCACTATCTATTCTGTCGTGTCCCTTAATAATCTTATAGATTTCTATAAGATCACCTCTAATTCTTCAATATTCTAGAGAATATAGGCCTAAATTGCTCAACCTATCCTCATAACTCATCCCTCTCATCCCAGGTATCAACCTGGTGAATCTACGTTGTACCCCCTCCAAGGCGAGTACATCCTTTCTTAAATAAGGAGACCAAACCTTCACACAATACTCTAGGTGCGGTCTCGCCAGGGCCCTATACAGTTGCAGCAAGACTTCCCTACTCTTATATTCTAACCCTTTTGTAACAAATGCCAACATACTGTTAGCCTTCCTAATCGCTTGCTGTACCTGCAAACTAACTTTTTGTGACTGGTGTACAAGGACGCCCAAGTCCCTCTGAACGCTAACACTATCTCGTCTCTCCCCTTCTAAAAAATAATCTGCTCTACTGTTTTTGCCACCTAGGTGGATGACTTCACACTTCCCTACATTATACTTCATCTGTCACCTATTTGCCCACTCACCTGGCCTATCTATAGCTCGTTGCATTTTTTTAATGTCATCTTCAATGGTTACTCTCCCTCCTTGGTTAGTGTCATCCGTGAATTTGGATATATTAAGTTCGACGTCCTTATCTGGATCATTGATGTAGATTGTAAATGGTTGAGGCCCAAGCACTGATCCTTGTGGCACTCCACTAGTCACATCCCACCAATCTGAGAAGGACCCGTTTATCCCTACTCTTTGTTTTCTTCCCGTTAGCCATTCTTCAATCCATGCTAATATATTCCCCTTAATTCCATGGGCCCTAATCTTGTGGATCAACCTTTTATGCGGCACCTTATCGAATGCCTTTTGGAAATCTAAATACACTACATCCACTGATTCCCCCTATCTAATCTACTTGATATGTCCTCAAAAAAATCTAAAAGATTTGTTAAGCATGACTTCCCTTTTGTAAAGCCATGTTGACTCTGTCTAATCATATTGTGATCCTCTAAGTATCCCACTACGACATCCTTAATTAAGGATTCTAGAATTTTCCCTACCACCGATGTCAGACTAACTGGTCTATAGTTCCCCATCTTTTCTCTCCCACCCTTCTTAAATAGTGGTGTGACGTTTGTGATCTTCCAATCAATGGGAACCGTTCCAGAATCTAAAGAATTTTGGAAGATCAGACACAAGGCCTCCACTATCTCATGAGCTACTTCTTTTAAAACCCTAGGATGCAAACCATCAGGTCCAGGGGACTTGTCACTTTTTAATGCCAACAATTTCCCAAGCACCAATTCTTTGCTATGGTAAATTTCCCTAAGTTGCTCCCTATCATTAGCCCCTTGGTTCATCTCTATTTCTGGTAGACTTCTTGTGTCTTCTAACGTGAAGAAGAAGCAAAGTATTTATTTAGGGACTCTGCCATATCCTTATCCCCTATTATAATTCCCTATTATAAAACCTCTTACAATCTGTCTAATGTTCCTAGCCAGCTTGCCCTCATAATCCATTTTCTCACTCGTAATGAGCTTTATGGTTTTCCTTTGTTGGTCCCTAAAACACTCCCAGTCCACAGGTTTGCTACTCTTTTTGGCAGTTTTATAGGCCTTTTGTTTTAGTTTTATACTTTCTCTAACTGCTCTAGTTAGCCACGGATGAGCTGCTTTTCCTGTGGTACTCTTATTCCTCAAGGGAATATGTGACCGCTGAGAATTATGCACTACAACTTTAAACGTTTGCCATTGTTGCTCTATTGTCATATCCCTTAATCTAATTCCCCAGTCTATGTTTGCTAATTCTTCCCTCACACCTGCAGAGTTAGCTTTATTTAAAGTCAAGACCCTTGCTTCGGATTTGACAACATCGCTCTCTAACTTAACACTAAATTCTATCATGTTATGATCACTCTGCCCCAGAGGAGCCTTAATATTTATATAACTGACTAGTCCTGTTCGTTACACAAAACAAGGTCTAGGATGGCCTGTCCCCTAGTTGGTTCCTCAGCGCACTGCTCCAGAACGCTATCCCTCATATATTCTATAAACTCCTCCTCTATCCTACTTTTGCCGATTTGGTTTTCCCAATCTATGTGAAGATTGAAATCACCCACTATTACTGTATTACCTTTGCTACATGCTCCTCTAATTTCCTGATTAATACTCTGCGCTATGCTGTGATCACTGTTTGGGGGGTCTATAAACTACTCCCACTAATGTTTTCTGCCCCTTGTTATTTGTAATTCTACCCATACCGTCTCTACATCTGGTTATCTGATTTGAAATCCTTCTCTCTACTGTTTTTATTCCATCCTTTATTAACAAGGCTGCCAACCCCCCCCCCCCCCACCCCGACACCTCGTTTTACACATTGCCTATAAGCTGAAAATCCCGGAATATTTAACTTCCATCCTCGATCTCCCTGTAACCATGTCTCAGTAATGGCTACTAAATCATACCTGTTTGTATCTATCTGTGCCTTTAATTCATCTATCTTATTCCAAATGCTTTGTGCATTCAGATATAGTGAATTTAATTTCTTACCATTTCCCCTACTTTCTGAATGCCCTATTCTTCTCGACTGAGCTTCTTACCCCTCATTGACCTATTCTGTTTATCTCTCTCGCTATTCTGTTCTGCCACCTTTAGTTTTTTTAATACAGTTGGCTTGCGATTATTTCTAATTGTGTGCCCACCTCCGGCCCCCTGGTCGATCTTGTAAGGATTAAAAATCGCTGTGCAATTGTGCAAGGTTGGATTTGGGGGAGAAAGGACAGTTCAGGGTCAAACGTGACACCCAGGACAGAGCCCTGAGGAATACCTCATGAGACGGTGCGGTGGTTGGAGGTGAAGCCGTTTGCTGCGACGAAGTGGAGGCGGTGTAAAAGGTAGGACCTGAACCAGTCAAGGACAGAACCTTGAAGGTTGAGGTGGGAGGAGAGGCGGTGGAGGAGGATTGAGTGGTCCACGGTGTCCAAGGCGGTGGAGGGGTCGAGGAGGACGAGGAGGCAGAGGGACACCGGTCGCACATGGTCAGGATGTCGTTTGTGACCTTGACCAGAGCAGTTTCTGTGCTGTGGGCAGCACGGACCCCGATCGGAGGGGTTCATGGAGAGAGTGGGAGGAGAGGAAAGAGTGAAGCTGGGAGGCAATGGCTCTCTCAAGGACCTTGGATAGGAAAGGGAGGTTTGAGATGGGCCGGTAGCTGGGTCAAGGGAAGGTTTCTTCAAGGTGGGGGTGATAATGGCTGTTTTGAGTGGAGAAGGAACAGTGCCAGATGACAGGGAGAGATTGATGATGTTGGGGTAAGGAGGTGGAGTTGGGATTTAAGGAGAGGGGTGGCGATGTGGTCCAGAGAGCAGGTGGTGAGCTTCATGGAGGATATGGTGGTGAAGACAGAGGAGGGTTGACAGGTTCAAAGGTGTGGAAGGACGGATGGGTAATTGTCGGAGTGTGGTGTGGGGGTAGGGAAGGGGTGGAAGTTGGGAGGGCAATGGCAGCTGAGTGGATTCCCTCGAATTTGGACTCAAGGAAGTCTAGCATTTTCTCGCAGTGAGAGTCAGAGGAAAGAATCTGCGAGGCATGGCGGGGAGGGTGGAGGAGCCGGTTGGTGGTGGAGAACAGGAGCCTGGGGTTGCCCTTTGCCTGCAGGGTTAACCTGGAATAGAAGGATGATTTTGCTGAGGCGAGAGCGGAGAGGTAGGTTTTGATGAGGTCCAGCCAGATGGAGCGGTGGACCGTTAAGCCGGATTTGAGCAAGTGCTTTCGGCAGCCCTCACCTGGCCCTTAAGTGAGAGGAGGTGGCTGGTGTCCCACAAAGAGTCGTGGATTGAAAATGACCAATTTATTATTTGTTTTGTTTTTTGGAGGGATTATTATTAGGTGTGTGGAGTAAGAAAACTTGCCCAAGGTTTTGCCCTGCCAGAAATTGAACCCAGGGAGTGGTCCAACCACTGAGCTACAGGACTCCAGTGTCAGATGTCAGAGATGTCAGAGATGAAGGTGGGGGAGGATTTTGAGGGGCGGAAAATTAGGAGGAATTTTAGAGACAGGTGAGAGGGATGGCAGAGGACAAGGTGTTCAAAAGAGGGGAATGAGCCGGTGGAGTAGGGGGATAGGGTAAGTGACGCTCTGGATATGAGGGCCACACTACTGCCATGACGGTTGGGGCATGGGGCCTGGTGGTAGGTGTAGCCGGCTGGTGTGGACTCAGTGAGGGGGAAGGTGTCACCTGGGGTGACCCAGGTTTCAGTGAGGGCCATAATGTCAATGTTCTCACCGAAGATGAGTTCATTGATGGCCAGGGTCTTGTTGCAGGTGGAGCAGACATTTCCTGGGAGTCATGGATTTAGTGACCAGATCATTACTATTATTTTTGGAAGGGATTATTACCTACGGAAAAGCGATCCCCCCAATCGACTAACAACCGGGTTCCCACTTACTGCAAGGTAAACAGAGGCGTGTGGAGTAAGGAAACTTGTGTTTCACCCTGCCCGAGAATCAAAGCCAGTTCTCTCACTTGTGAGGCGAGCGCTCTAACCAATAAGATATACTGGATTGCAAAATGCAGGAAATCAATCAGAGAAGTAGTTGGTCTGCAGCTGTTTCCCAAGCACGATTTCCTTAAAGCAACGTTTTAAACCGCTTTCCTAAATGTCAGCCTGGCTCAGTTGGTGGCACTCTCCTGTGAGTCAAAAGGTTGTAGGTCTATGGCCTTTATTCAGGTGGACATTAAAGATCCCGTAGCGCCATTTGAAAAGAGAAGGGAGTTTCTCCCCGTGTCCTGGCCGACAATCCCCCAAATAAAATTGTTTATTGCATAATTAAAAGCTGTTCACTTCATGACCATTTGTGGGACGTCTCTGTGCAGATTAGTTGCCACGTTTGCCAATAAAATGCACACAGTCACTACAGGGGACAGCCTCCTGATGTGTAAGGCGAAATACCAAATGTAAGGATTGTTATTGTTGTTGCCTTTCCTTTCAGATTTCCATTCCCCCTCTCTCTCTCTCCTTGGTGATGGGAAAGTTAAGCTCTAAGCTGCAGGCGATGCTGATGCTCATCTGTGAGAAACTGGAGGGCAGTGGATGGACACTTACTGATGCTCAGGTTCTGATTTGCGGCAACAGATTTCTTCGCCAGAAGCAAAAAATCAACGGATTTATAAAATGAGAACTTGTGGAAGGACAAAGCATTGAATTTCTAAGTCATTATTTTAATGCACTTCAAAGGCAATGTTTGATTTTTTTCGAAATGCATCGACTCAACATTTTGTGTTAAGAAACATTGGAAATTTGACATTCACTCGCCCCACCCTTCCCCTCACCCCTCCCTGTTCTCCTAATTGGCAGCGATCACAAATGATATTCTGACATATTGAAGCCAGGCAGTTCCCACAGACAATTCTATCTCTCTCTTACTCCCCCCTCCACCACCACCGCCTTTCTTTCTCACACACATGCTCTAAGCAGCTGACTGCAGTAGCAGGGGATCTAGGAGCAGGCAGATGGTATGCTGCCTAATGGGATCAGCGGAAGGGGAAGGAAAGTGGCTTAGAGGAAAGGAGATTGAATCATTTCACATGCCCACACACACACACACACACACACATATATATACGCACACACACACACACCACGTACACATATGCACACACACAGATATGCACGCACACACACACACATACACATCCACAACGCATGCACACACACACACATGCACGCATAAAGCACGTGTATATATGCACACACATACATAACATATATGAATACACAGGCACATATAAATATAATATGTGCGGACATGCATCTGCACACACGTAAAGAAATTTTAAGATAGACTATAATATCCTGGATATTAACTTAGACAACAGAGGAAAAAATATTCCTGTGGGTATCTGCAAGGTATTCCTAAATTGTTTTGAATTACAGGAGTCTGCCAACGTGCATTAGTCTGTACCAGGTTAATTACAGAGAGGGAGGTTTTGAGAGCTGCCTATGTGTGTCCACTCCTTGCCTGTAATGGGCCAGACCTTATACAGAGAGCAGACCTCTATCACTTACCCCAGTGGGGTCGTAGTAGTGCAGGTACGCAGGGTCATCCCGCAGCACAAACTTCCGGACTTTCCAGTTTTTCCTTCGGTGGCCCTGAGAGGAGAAGAATATACACCCCTGTAAAATACACCCCAGCGCTCTGCACTCAGCCAGTTAGTTTTCAGCTGCTTGTGTCACCAACTGTACGTTACACATGTATAGAACCTCACCGTTGTGCGTAACACTGGTTACGATACTGTAGTGTGTAACAGTAACACAGGTTACGATACTGTAGTGTGTAACAGTAATCCACAGGTTACAATACTGTAGTGTGCAACAGTAACACAGGTTACAATACTGTAGTGTAACAGTAACACAGGTTACGATACTGTAGTGTAACAGTAACACAGGTTCAGTTCCCAGTTCCCTTTTAAAATAATAATAATAATCCTTGGATTTGATATAGCGCTTTTCACGTCAGGAGGATGTCCCAAAGCGCTTCACACAGAACACACTGTAAAGTGAATTGACTGTATATTTGTGGGCGAACGCGGCACAAACAGTCGTAGATTGAAAATGATCAATTTATTATTGTTTTTGGTTTTGGAGGGATTATTATTAGGCTCTGTGTGGAGTAAGGAAACTTGCCCAAGGTTTCGCCCTGCCTGGGATTGAACCCAGGTCTCTCGCTTGCAAAGCGAGTGCTCTAACCACTGAGCTACAGGACTCCACGATAGCCTTCATCACCCCACTTCTCATGGAAACCTGCCCTCGACCCACCCTTGTCCCCAAAACCTCTGCCCCATCTCCAACCTGCCTTTCATTATTACGCTATGGTGTGTAACAGACGTACCATATCGCACTGTTGTGCAC